TAAATGTATCCTTGGCTCTCCATCCGAGACAATACAATGTCATGACAAAACACACAATGTAGGCTACCGACCGTTTGTCTATGGAGCCGTAGATGGTTGGGTGACTTTCCTCCACAGCAGGGTGACACGAATATGAAAGGTTGCAACATTACAAGTAGGTCATCCCAAAAAAGTAGGTGGGGTGGGGGGGGGGGGGTGCAGAAGATGACCGATACTAGGTTCCTTGGTCTTTCCTAGACTACACTCACTCGCTTACCTTTGTCACAAACTTGCAGGTAAATAGCTATTTCACACCCCAGTGCTCCGGCAAAGAAGGGCAACACCCATACCTCTTTTTTGCCATCTTCAATAGGTCCGTCAAATAGTAGTAATAGGTTTTCATTTGACCCGACGAGACCACACGACGCTTGCAGATCACAGCACAGCACGAACAGTTCACCAGCCACACTCCACGAAAGCAAGTAGTAGTACTCCTGACAAGTCTTGTTTCGTTCCATAGAGATAATAACGGGGAACTCATCAGAGGAGAAGCAGCTGTTGAATGAAGGGGTTTAGCTGAATAATGCTATTAATTTGAAAAGATATTGGCGCACTGAGGTGTAAACACTCAACTAACTCGTTATGTGATATATCAACACAAAAGGAATAGTGCAGAATGGAGGTGTTCTGAACCCTACCAGACACAACTATCACAAGTGCTAAATCATTCACAATGAGAAGGAGAGGTACACAGGAATAGGTTGCGCTAGTTTACACGTCACAAAGGGTACTGAGGTGGTGACAAAGATAGGTGAAAAGTAGACGCCAAGTGAAAGCCAACAAACCATCAGGGACGTCTAACGTCACATCTGAAGATTGCTAACTGCACAAGACAAATACTTCACAAACCTCGATAATTGAAACTCAGCCAGCGGTATAGGTGAAAGGAAGGCTGCTGGGTGTGACATAGAACTGTGGGCTGCTTAGGCGACGTATCCATCTTGATCTTGACTGCAGGGTTGGCGTCTAACGCTATAATCCGAGCAGCAGATCAAATCCTTCCTCTGGTCAATGGCAGATTTCCTGGTCCAGGAGAAGTCATAATTCTTTGTTGCCATCTTCCATAGGTCCGTCAAATAGTAGTAATAGGTAGCTGGCTGAGTTTTAATTATCGAGGTTTGTGAAGTATTTGTCTTGTGCAGTTAGCAATCTTCAGATGTGACCTTAGACGTCCATGATGGTTTGTTGGCTTTCACTTGGCGTCTACTTTTCACCTATCCTTGTCATCACCTCAGTACCCTTTGTGACGTGTAAACTAGCGCAACCTATTCCTGTGTACCTCTCCTTCTCATTGTGAATGATTTAGCACTTGCGATAGTTGTGTCTGGTAGGGTTCAGAACACCTCCATTCTGCACTATTCCTTTTGTGTTGATATATCACATATGTGAGTTAGTTGAGTGTTTACACCTCAGTGCGCCAATATCTTTTCTATAAAATCGCATTATTCAGCTAAACCCCTTCATTCAACAACTGCTTCTCCTCTGATGAGTTCCCCGTTATTATCTCTATGGAACGAAACAAGACTTGTCAGGAGTACTACTACTTGCTTTCGTGGAGTGTGGCTGGTGAACTGTTCGTGCTGTGCTGTGATCTGCAAGCGTCGTGTGGTCTCGTCGGGTCAAATGAAAAACCTACTTGTTTTAACACCCATACCGTCCACCTTTCTAGAAGGGTTGCACATCTTCTTTGTTCTGCTGCATCCGTCCACCATCGAATGCCTGAAGAAGCCAACACGTACAACAGGCAGAACAGGCAGATTTCCCTGTCATTATCACAAATCCAGGCCCTGGCCTGTTAACCCTATAGAATCTCTCGGCTGCCTTCGGCTTCACTGATTTTTCATTCTTCGGGAAATCAAAAGCATTACTTTCTTCAGTTCAAACATGGTCTTTCTGCTGCGGAAGAACTGTTTCATCCCGACTATAAACAAGGTCTGAAGATTTAGCGAGCCGGAAGTCAGATATGCAGTAGAGAGACCACGTTTGCACGTTTAGATTGTAGAAAAGTAATGTGCTGCTATTGTGCAGCAATGGAGCAGGCAAATCTTTAGAAAACTAGTGGATTCATCGGCCCACATGGAGTTGTGCGAAAAATCGTTAAGATCGGCGCGAAAATGATGTGGAAGGTGTTGTCGTTCAAGTAAGTTTCCGATAAATCTGCGGCGAGTTTCTCGCCAGCCAACCACTGACGGGTTTTCGCTATGAGGGCAGAGAGTGTCGATGCAGACCGTGAACTGGCTGCACTGGAGCGCTACTAGGCGCTAGCCTTTTCACGCTATTGGCCCTGTGGCTCGTGTATTAAGGATCCAATCTCCGCTTTCTGGTGTCTACTAGCGTGTAGCGCGGCCGTGTACGTGCACGAACAGACATGCGTACACCATTAAAGGGGAAGTTAAGGTGGCTCCTACCCCTCGGGTCCAATTTTTCAGTTTGAAACGTGGCTACAAACGATTGTACTTTGTTCCGTAGGATATCTAGTGTGCGGAGACACGTTTTTATCAAGTTCTACCCGCCGGTTTCACTCGGGGGAGGGGTCAAACATAGCATACTCGCAATTGCCAAATTAGGCTAAAAAATACAGAAAAAACCAATTTTTGACCATAGCGATCGTGGTTACCCCGTCTTTCTTGATGTGCAACATCGGGACAGTCATATACTTGCAATATACTAACATAAGCATTACAAGTAGGTAGAATCCTGCCCGAGAGGTGCCTTTTTCTCTTTTCGGAATAGTACCATTTCAGCGAACGCGTCCTGAATATAAGCCCCGCCTACAAGTATTTGACACTGGACTTGGTCTGCATTTGATGGCTATGCCATTAGAACACAATAGTGGCTCGGTGTAGCAAGTTTGAGCAGGTTCTACCGAAGCTAACTCATGAAATAAAACTTTTAAGTTTCCGAATGTAAGGCCACCCTTTGTTAATTCATTGTTTAACGTCCTTTTTTTCGCGAAAAGGTACGCGGGAGGGCGAAAAAATAACAAAAGCCCATTCCAAAAACTGGAAACCCCAATCAAACATTTTGACCAGTAAAGCATGTGATTATATACAATATTTCTGGGTCTAACGGCACTTGCAGGCATAGAACAACACTCTTTGATGGTACATTGGAGCACATGCCTGATGAATCCAACAAAACAGGTACATAGCATGGAGGTAGCATGTCATGAATTCATTACATCTGGATTTTTACTAGGACACACACCATACGATATTTAAAAGACAACAAAAAAAAGAAAAATAACACAAGACAAAGGCATGCCCGGGAGGCAAGATTATAAGTTTAAGGTCATGATCGGCACCCTGTGAAACTACACAATCATGTATTTACAACTTCGCATATTATTGGCACTACTACTTTCTTTTTTTTTTTTCCGGTCGGAGGCAAAAAGGTACGCGGGCGCGGACGTTAAACAACGAAAAAAGAAAGGGTGGCCTAACCGAAATTGCATGGATAAGCACATTGCATTGAGTTCATCGCCCCAAGATATGAACCACCAACACTCACATATAGCAGACAATAGCTTGTAGTTACTCGATTGAGCTCTCATTAGAACATGATAGGATAGTGTTGAACAATTTTGAGCGGATTCAACCGGATCTAACTCTTCAAATAGAGCTTGAAAGTGTCGAAATTGTATCATAATGAAGAATCGCAATGCATTCCAGAGTGCGTTTCCAATCAAATCGCACGTATGACAGACATTTATCTTACATAATCGTTTCTGTGTAATCACAACTCAGTATTATTATTATACTTCAATGGCTTTGTTCACAGCAGTAAGAACCTAAGCTAACTAAGAAAAATAAGAGTATTAGCCACAGCAATTCGATGAAACATACTAGAATAATGTCTGCATACAGGAGCAGGAATGACTTGGAGCTTAGTAAGCCTTAGTCTTGATTTAGCTATCATCAAACGCAGAGGCATTGCAATCAAGAAACCATATATAATATCTGGAGTAGATCTACGGAAAGGAATACCTACAGAGTAGGCACAATGTATCGCCATAGTAAAAGGCTTGAAAACACGTAGCAGCTGTCATTACCTGTACGTGCCCATGCTGTTGTCATGGTCCTCCGGACACTCTAGGTTTGTACACTGCTCAGCCACTTCATATAAGCAGGATCTGGCAAGTCGTACCCTTCTGCTTTCCGGCGACGATACAATGCTAGAGTGGCCGGTGGCAGCAAAGCGCTGGCAACAGCACTGACGGTGAAACTTGGGGCGGCACTGACAGTGGCACTTGGCGTAGCAGTGACGGTGGAACTTGGGGCGGCACTGACAGTGGCACTTGGCGTAGCAGTGATGGTGGAACTTGGCGTAGCACTGATGTCTTCACACTGTGTTGCACTGGTAGCCTGGCCGATGGCTTCGGTCTCAGCAAAGTGCCCCGCCAGCTTTGCTAGAGTCGGTGCAGACTTAGTCACCCTTGGCCGACCAGTCGTATCGGGCTCTGCAAGTAGCGCTCTCAGACCAGCTGCACCGTTTCTCCGGAAAGAAACCCTCAAATCCGCAAGGCTTAGCCCACTGCTGGCAATTTTCTTCGCCATGCCATTAGACAGCGCCTTGACGGGGATGCAAGCTTTCATCTCTTCAGCCAATTTCTTGCACCGGAGGTTGTATGCATGCACATCAAATGACGATTGAGATGTAACACAGTGTGTGAATGCCTTGTCTGAATCTAAGCATTTGTCATAGAGCTCAGACAAGGCATTCACATCACCAATCGCATTGTGTGCATCATACCCCTGGGTGCCAACAAACTGGCTGAACAGATGCTCCTGAGTGTAGGAGACACAACCTGGATGCGCATTCCTGATGGCAGGCAAAGTGTCAATGAACCCAGCCACCGCAGAGAGAAGGTCGTGCACCATACCTAATCTCTCCAGTTGGTTGAACAAGACTCGGCAATCAAACTTGAGTAAATTGTGACCAACCAACACAGTTTGACTGCCAAGCCCCTACAACCAACGGATGAAAGTGGTGATGGCATCATGGAGGGTGACAGATTGCAAAGGCTCTTTGGATCCAACGCGCTGTAACCTCCTCTGGCCATTGACCACAGTGACAGTCAGACCGATCTTCTCCGTGGCTTTCGGGTGGATGGATTTTTCCGGCACAACGTAATGGCTGAAGGTGTTGCTGCCAGACTGGGCCGCAAGCTGAACTATCTCGGCACAGTCGCCGAACCCTGTCGATTCCAGGTCAAAGAACACTAAGTTGGTGTCCTTTGACGTCTCCAGTGGCTTATATGACACAGGCCCGGATGGTGGTGGCAACACATGGTCATCTAATGGACGGCGAGCGCATTCACTTCCATACTGAGTACCTTCTCCTACCTGTAGTAGAAAGCATATGCAAGCAAACAGTGCTTTTCAGAAACTCCCAATCTCCTTCAAACACAGGATACATGAGAATCCACTGCAGGAACACCAGAATAGGCCTCATACCGGTATAGACCTTATAGACAAATATTTACCTCTTCTCAATTCCAAAGTTCATGGAGATTGAATCGCCCACGTACCTCAACAGCCGACTGCTTGCTAGATCGGAGTTTACTAAGCTCAAGTCGCCGCCTCTTCACTGGCTTAGACGACTTCCGGAGTGATTCCTTTTTTCGTTTTCCATCCATCTTCTGTCCCAGCGTTTCGGCGTGCCTACTCGGAGAAAGCCCTGCCTCTATGCACACTTTTGATACATAGTTGTATCCGATGTTCTTCTGTGCGACTGCTGCACCAACCCGGAAGCCGAAGGAGCCAGATGATGCGTAGCTCCTCGACTTGGGCTGCTTGCTAGCTACGGTGTTGTTGAAAGACTCGTTGGCTTGCGAACTTCCGTGGTTAGCTAGCTTGTTCGCATTTTCGGCATACATCTACGCACACACATTGGGTTCACACACACACACACACACACACACACACACACACACACACACACACACACACACACACACACACACACACACACACACACACACACACACACACACACACACACACACACACACACACACACACACACACACACACACACACACACACACACACACACACACACACACACACACACACACACACACACACACACACACACACACACACACACACACACACACACACACACACACACACACACACACACACACACACACACACACACACACACACACACACACACACACACACACACACACACACACACACACACACACACACACACACACACACACACACACACACACACACACACACACACACACACACACACACACACACACACACACACACACACACACACACACACACACACACACACACACACACACACACACACACACACACACACACACACACACACACATACACACACACACAGGCATACGGTTCATACACACACACACACTCACACAGGCACATACACATACACGCTCACACACACACGCACACACACACGCACACACACACACACACACACACACACACACACACACACACACACACACACAAAGACACACACACACAGGCATACTGTTCATACACACACACTCACACAGGCACATACACATACACACACACACACACACACACACACACACACACACACACACACACACACACACAGAACGGCAAAATAACTTTCGCAATCTATCAACTGGGAGTGAAGTGAATGATATTGTCAATACTTTATCAGTAACTCAGTATTGTTAAATTGTTTAGACTCACTGTAGAATACTGTTGAAGGTTAGGGGTACACTTATTATTTTTGCACCTTTCCCTCGAACTAATATTATTTTAATACTGCGTTGACGTAAACCAGCCAGCTGTTGAGTTCACAACTTACGGAGAGGTAACCTTCATTTTACCAGTCATGGGACAGTAGAAAAAGTCTAAGTTAGTGATGGTATAATCTGCCAGTTTCGTCAAAACTATTGACTTTCGGTACAGAAAACTTGGATGATACAGGAAACTTACTGTGAAGATTTTCATCAGCTCAGACTTGGTTCTTTCATTGGACAAGTCACGACCATACGGCAAGCTCTTGTGCTTGTAGTTTGCAGGATCTTTGGAATATGCGCACCAGTCTCCACAATCCTTATGATCACCTGTGCAAGGCGTACAAAGAGGTTCAAGCGCAATTCATGCTTTTAATACCTATTTGGAGGCAGATTTCAGAATGTTGATTCAAGTATGTTATACTACAGCATGTCTGCACTTGAACATCACAGCCTATTGGACATTTTATTTTTCAGCTTGCATGAGTTTTAAGTAATGGCATGATTCAGGTGAGGTGTTTCTATCCATACCATAGAGATGTGGAACGGTTGCCATCAAGGACGCTTTCAAAGATGGGGCATCATTCTTTGACTGGTGCACGGCGAACATGAAGCATTTCTGAACACTCTTGATGACCATATCCGACATTTCCTTGTGGCCCTGTTGCTTCAGCTTGTAGAGTGCGTTACCTACATATTCATAAGGACAGAACCATGGTGGAGTTTTTCATACTTCGGAAGTAATAATGATAATGACAACACTGGCAATACAAATATACAAATACTATACTCTCAACAACACGAGTATCATACCACCAATAGGCTGGCGTGCCACAGTAGAACTAGTAATTGCACAGCATTACGTTTTGCATTGACATCAATACTAAGTTAATCTTGCTACTTCGAAGTAAAGTACTAATTTCACCATCAAGACAACTTATGTTGGGTTAGCACTTACCAAGATTCTTTTTTACATGGTTCAAGTCTGAGCTCTTCGATATATTTTCAAACACTTCTGTCCGCAAACGCTTTATGGCTGACGAGTCGTCATCTCCCACCATAACAGCCACGTTCACACCAGAATTCTTCAAGAAGTTGCCAATGCCCACAGCTACAGAACCCTCCATGCTCTTTGCGGAACCGGAATGGGTTTTCTTGCAATCATGAGGAGGAACAGCTTTGCGGCGGCGTTCAGCATTTAAACAAATGGCGCAACCCTTTGAGCGAGTACCATAAGCTATAATTAGGCCCGTCTTGGCACCAATGGCATGACCAACACCTGAAGACATAAAGTGTACAAACAAACACACAACAATATGCACACTAAATCAACAACAGCAACAACAACGTCCACTAGCAAGAGCAGTTTGGAAGAACACATACGTATAGTACAGGATTATTACTAAATTTTAGTGCCGGGCTTCACAGTGGAGTATTGTTGACAATACTAATGTTAATCAATGTGCCAAATTCCCCTCTGCCAGAGTGGACTGCCTATGCAGCCAGCTGCCACAAGAAGAGGGCTACACAAATTTTGCCTGCAATAGCACACTGTCTACTTACCAGTGGCACGTCCTCGCTTCTGCCATCCCATGTCATAACTCATCACAATGTCTTCACTGCCAGATTGGGCTTTCTCCTTTGATGCAGAATCTTTGCAACTTGAAGCAGCAACACTCTCTGTTATAGGTCCAATGGATTTCTCGTGGTTTCGCAGACACTTTTCACTAGCTACTGGAATATTCAGTGTTGCCATCAAGTTGTTGACGTGTGTTGCGCCAATACCTGCGTGGTCCATAGCTGAACACAAAGTATGAGAAGTAGATCCCACAATCAGTCGGTCGAACATAATGATGCTTGTCCATCCTAGAGGGACACACTTATGCCCCCCCCCCCCTCTCCTCCTCCTCCTCCTCTTCTCACGTCTGATTATAATTATACGCATTCCCGCGGCAGCGTCAACCAAGCAGTCCTGCTTGACTGATCCACACGTTTGCTTATGCTGGACATTGAAACAGAGCGGATGTAGATATCTCCTACATGTAGAGAATGTGGCTCTACAAAACCAACGTCTGCTACGCACACAATACAGTCATCACAAATTATACCAATCCGAAGATACTAGTATGCAGTGTACAGCAGAATCACTCACAGTGTCACTGATCTGACACAATAAGTGGGATTTATGAGGGGGCATGCAGGTTCCCAATCCAAATGCACGATAGCACACGTACACACACACACACACCTATATAAATGCTCAGCTGCACACGTATGAACGACGCGGCATGCGGACACATGTACACTCATACATCGGTTATCCGGAGCCTGGAGTTATGGGTACTTCACTGAGCTTTACTGGGCACCCTTTGGGCGTCTTTCAGTGGAAATATTACTACTCTTTTTGTCACTTTTTGTGAAAATAGTGACGTCATATGCCATATCTATGGCCTTCCCCCTTCAAAATGTATAATGATTCGGAGTTACGGACATTTCAAAGTTACGGGCAGCGTCCAGTCCTGGACCGCCCGGGAAAAGTTGGTATGAGTGTGAGTACATCTACCCAGCCGGCGCCCGTGCATGTTCTGTATTTTGGTCATTGGCCTCTTATCATATAATTTGTATGAATTACAAGTCAATCGATACTTGTAAATAGATGAAAGTGCACGCATGCACGCGCACACATACACAGGTGGACGCATGCATGTCCCTCTCATGGATTGCATGTCTAAAGCGTGCAATGGTGTATGGTGAAGCACTATTATTGCAGGAACAGGATTGATGTCGGACTCACCTAAGGCAAGTTTCGTGTTCACATCATAGCTCCTGCGATTTCCAGACTTGCCGGCATGCGTTTTCGAGGTCTGTACCTGGTTACGGACACCACATGCACCGCACTTCACCTCCAGCACTGACGCATACCCATTTCTGCGTTCAGCCACGCAGTGGATTAGCTTCAGTGCTGTGTGGCAAGCATAACATCCTCTTTCCAAACGAGTCCCAAGAAGTCGAAACTCGACGATCCTGTATTGCAATACGAAATTTGATTACAAGATCCAAGACACAATGACTACCTCGACTATGTCTTGAATCATGTCAAGTTGCACCACTATTCTACCTCCGTCCTTCCAGAATTGTAGAGTCAACAAAAAGTTCGACCTCGCTGCGAGCTGCAGGCGGAACACAGGATTCTCCTGTGGCTGCTGGTACGTCAGCTGTTTCGCAGCACGCCGGGGGTTGGGTATCGACCTCAGGCAAACCCGGGGCCTGCATCGATAGGGGCAGCCCGGGCTGAGGCCAGTGGCAGTGATGGAGGCTCTCTTGCGCTGTTTGTCTTCGTCGCTCTGCTCCGCCATGATTTACGGCGAGTGATCGCGGATTTCTGGCAGACCTTTCCACGATACCTGGCGCTGAAGCGGCTTGACATGCCCATTCCAGAGCTAGGGAGCAGCCACTGCACACTTCGTGCCTTGCTGTACGAGTCCCTCGCCGAGCGCTACGCTATCGCCTTCAGGAAACAGGATCTACGAAAAGGAAACAGCAAGACGGTAGCTACTACAAAGTCACCTTCAAAAATCAAACTAGCTTCGCACTGTTCGCAGTCCGCGGACTCCGCGCGCTTGTGCTGACGTTTTGAAGTATTTCTGGAAAAAAAGGAAAAAATCGATGTTTTTGAAACGATGCGTGCGCAGAGGGTAGGAGCCAGCCACCTTAAGGCTAAAATCAAAATTTCACCAGTTGTAGTCTTCGGGGTGCTGAGTCGAATGGTCGTGGTCCGAGGAAGCTGAGACACTCCCTTCCTACTTTAATCCTAATCGAACTCACGCACTTCCACCGAAACTGGGTGAATACGCCCTACTAGATGGGGATTTGTATGCAAAATGTCACTAAAAGCGCCATGTCGTTCTTATAAAAGCACGGATGACCGCGATTGGCCCATATGTTGTAGTCTTTTGGATGCTGAGTCGACTGGTTTTGGTCCGAAAAGGCTGCGATGAAGCGTTCCTCCTTTATTCCCAATCGAACATGGTTGAACAAGCGGTCACGTGCTCCTGCGTACACCAGTCACCTGGTCACCGTGCCTGCAGGGTACAATTTACTAGCCTGTTTGACCTTTTTTGGGTGCAGTCCTGTCACTCGAGTTGAACCTTGATGTGAAAGTTGTCGCCTGCTGGCGTGGTGACCAGGTGATTTGGGCACCCAGCCGTAGCATCCAAATCAAAGTCCAAATCAAGTGCATGGTGCAGGGATGCTACCAGCCCAGTATCGTGTGCGTATGTATGCACTATGCAGGGATTCTTTTAGTCCAGTATCAAGTGTGCAAGCAGAGATTCTCCCCGTCTAGTGTCAAGAGCCTATTCAGCACTTCTAGTAATCCGATATCAAGAGCATATTCAGGGATTCCAGCAGCCCAGTGTCAAATACATATCGACAGATGAGCCAGCCTACCATTATAGCAAATGCAGGATGCGTGCGCTACAGGATCAAGGGCAAATGGTACTGACTGGCTCTTGATATCGGATTGCTAGAAGTTTTACCGAAAATTTCCCTCCGCCGAACCGCCGATTTTGGAGAATACCGAAAATATTACACTACCGAACATTTCTGCTTTTACAGTAACCTATTTACCACCGTCAATTTGATCATTGGAGTACATGTACATGTATAAGCCGCAACTGTCTCTTTTTTTGTGTGAACTTTGAGCGTTCAAAGTGTGGCTTATCCTTCGAAAAATACGGTAGCTACACCTACAGCAGAGTAATGCGTCTAACGTGCTGAGAATACTGGTGCACCCAACAGCATCTCCATGTCACTAGAAGGTTGCGCTGAACAAGAGTTGCAACTATTTTGGCTTGCTCCATTGGAATACTGATAACAGTACAGTTGAACATCGATTATCCGACCACCTCTGGGCAGACAACTGTCAGGCGGTGTTCAGATAAGGCAAATGTTCCGGATAAGAAAACACACTGTAAATACATGTACATGTACATTGTAAATAGAATAGAGTGCTACTTTTCAAAATTTTCGTATTTTTTGAATGGCTCACTACATGCACAGTGCGTACTCTACGGCACGTGCGCCCAAAAAAAATGTTACGGATAATCGAATGGTCGGATAGTCGATGTGCGGATAATCGATGTTCAACTGTAGTGGTGTGGCTTTGGCCGCACCTGCCTCACCTGTTTCCACACCCCTGGTCACTTGCATTCAATCACTGATTCCCTAACAGGGAATGAAGTAACACAGCTTTCCCTGGCGTCACTCACTCACTGGCCTTGCATCCATGCGTGAATGGACTATTTCGATCCAGGAGCCAGTGTGTCACTTGACGCTTGGTTGCAAGGAGCGTCTCGTCCCGCACAATGCACAATACCACTACACACAGCTGTTCAAGCAACTTCCCGTAACTGATCGAGCATTTGCTGGATTCTCTTCACTCAATATCAATGTTTCAGGCAGGTTCTAGTTCCTTGCTCTTTCCGAATTTTCCCAATACCTATTTTGTTCAGAAGGAAGGGCACGAATTCATTTCCTGTTTAATTTCTCCGGTAACAGTGACTCCAAGTAAGGTAAAGATAGCACATCGCAAAGACAATACACGCCTGGACGTCATTGCTACTTCTTGTTCTGCAAGTGCTGTCAAAGCTTCGTTATCAAAAGGTATCCTAACATGTACTCACCTCGTCGCGTAGCTCGAGCATACTCCGGCAGCTTCCACTCGCCACGCGAAGAGTTCTACTTGTCGCAAAGCGAAGCAAGCGAGTCCGTAGCGTAGCGGGTGAGGACGACTCCGCTACGCCCGAAGCGGTCGTAGACAACATAATTATGCACTGGGCTACTGGAGTCTCTCACTTGCTGAATTCCCAAGACAAAGCGGGAAAATGTGGCCTAGTAGTGAAACGGTTCCTCAAATCACAAAATATTTCCAAACGGTAAATAGGCAGAGCCAACAGTAGGTCAAACTACACAATGTAGTCTGGTCATGTTATGCAGCGGCACGTACTCTGCTGTTCTCTATTTTCTGCTGCGCTTGCGGGAGCTGTCGATGAACAACAGGGGAAAGAAATGCCCCGCGCTTGTGTCGACGAGAAACTGGCAAGGAAAGAAGAACAGAGCTCGAGTGCTGTTACAAATATTGGCGTGTTAGTCGACAACCACGGTGAGGTGTGAAGGCGGCTGAAATAATTTCTCATCATCTTTGCACCACTGCACTGTGTAAACTCTACACAGTGCAGTGGTGACGAGACAGTGCTGGACTTCGCGACCAGTAAAAACAAAACTGATAATGATACGTAGACCTACAATAAAGTACACTACACCCGTGAGTCGTGAAAACCCATGTTGGCGTACACGATAATACTCGATTATTATTATTATTATTATTTGTGCTCCCGCGTCAATGGGCTCGCCCAAATTCGCTTGCACCGAACCATGCGAAAAAAGGCCGCCAGCAGGCAGGCAGGCAAAGAAAAATAGAAAATGGTGTCACATAAACTAATACAAACAAGAATATCATTATTGATGACATTAATATACTGAATGAATGGCAAGGCCATGTGAATACGGATAATACGGATAATCAGAGTACCAACAACAAAGAATGTAGCTCAAACCATTGCAGTGCCAGCTTCCTTCACCAGTACTCTGCCTTGTACGCATCTGTAACTGCGTTGCACAGATATGTCCATTCACGGCGATCCAGTGCTCGCTGAGCCATCAGCTGCAAGTCCCTTGGAGTCCTCAGACGGCAGCCGACTCGCTCCGCGTCTTGATTCAGCAGGACCGGTAGCGTGATCCGCGGCCGCCCACGGTATCCCGGCACGGAGCAGCCAAAGAATCCACTCATGGCCTCCCTAGCCGGTGTGTGCTCATCTGATCGCAGGATGTGGCCGAACAACCGCCATCTTGCATTCACCAGAATGTTGCCAAGTGGAGCAGCACTGCAGCATACTCGATAGGTCTACAAAACCTCTTCTTTTTTTCTTTTTTCAGCGCAACGGACCGGTTTTCCTGACATAAAAGAGACAGAGAGAGAGAAGGTGCGAAGCACTAGCTTGTAGGTGCGGTAATCCTCGGCGCTCTTTTTTGACTAGTGGGTCGGTTTTCACTGGCCAGTGGCCACGACTGTGATCAGGACCCTGAACCTGTGCCAGTGGAGAATGAGCACCGGGAGGTTGAGTGTAGATATCTGCCAGTACCACAGCTCAGTATCCTAACCGGCAGGGTGGTGTGGCCAAAAGGGCTGCACGCGGGTTCCTAAGAATATTAGAGAGGTTAAGATGCACGTTATTTCTGACGTGACGCGAAAGTTCAGCTCGCGTTATTTGCTCACACGTCGAAAAATCAACGCGAGTGACCTGCTGCTCGCGTCGAAATTTGGAGTTTTACGCCAAATTTGACGCGTGAGATTGCGCGTCAAGTCGGAAATAACGTGCATCTTAACCTCTCTATTGACTATTGTAGAGCGTGTGTTGGGATCTGCCAAGACTGCCATCGCTCAGAATCCGCACCCGGTGTCGGCGGAACACATTGTGCACCGTGTCGAACTTGCCATCCTTCCCTTCCTGTGTCTATTCATCGTTGTATGAAAATTCATCATTGTACAATGGAGAAACTGGTACAACTTTCCATTGGTTGGCGTTACAGAGTGAGGTCGGGGTAGAGCTCCGGTTCGAATTTCTTTGGAGGCGTCATGTAACCTGTACCACATACAATGTACGTGTCCCAATTGGTAACTCGGATGCAAGAGAGAGAGAGAGGGAGATCTGTGTGCAGATGCCACCCACGGTTCACGAGCACATTAAGCACATTATGAGAGGGTTTGGGTGTCTACAACCGACAGTATTATACAGAACTTCGTCATGGTACCGGGCGCCTGATTTATCAATTAGGACCACGATTACAGTCAACTTCGCTGATATCCACTGCGGATATAACGACAATTCGCGAATAACAGCAGAATTGCCATGCCCAGAGCAAAGTTCCATTTACTTCGGGTATAAGGACACTCCGCGAATAAGGACACATTTCTGATGCGCCGCCGAGTGTCGTTATACGCAAAGTTGACTCTACATTGTAGTATTGTTTATGGCAGAAGTGTAGGAGAAAGTCGCGACAAGCCTAAAGATGCCATTGTAGGTCCGGTGTGAGCAAATGCATTACGGATGGGCACTGCTGGGAGGACCGAACAACAATATTACATGTACAGTACCTCTACCACGAAACTACACCACGCGAGTCAAAGAACTTTTTTAAAATCACTAAGTACGCACATGTACATGTGCATGTTATTGTTTTCTCTATTGTAATTCGCTAAATGAAACGGACAGAACTGATAGAGAGAGAGAGAGAGAGAGAGAGAGAGAGAGAGAGAGAGAGAGAGAGAGAGAGAGAGAGAGAGAGAGAGAGAGAGAGAGAGAGAGACAGAGGAAGGAGAGAGAGAGAGTACTCTGATAAAGAGATACCCTTGCTTAGCACGACAATGATTGTCCGGAGCACGGGTGTATTATTGAGCCACACAGAGGTATGTAGGGATAAGAAGTATGAACATTATACTTCGGGTGCAAACACAAGTACACATACAAGTCCATTGTACCTGCTGCCCATAGTGGTATATGTACATGTACATTACACATAATTGTTAGATTGACAGCATGAAACAAGGTGGAGGACACTGTGTTCGGAAACAGTGACCTTACTACAACCTTCCGCGGTTGGCAGAGCCCCAGTCCCTGCGGACCATAACAAGGTTGATCTAACACTAGTTCTGAACTAGTATTGGGTTATATTATACCATGTACTAAGTACATTATTACAGTGTTCTACTGTGTCTCTTTTGCTACATGTACGTACACAACCTACTCGTCAGAAGGGGAGAAGACAACATAACAATATACCATAGCAACACAGCAGAGAGAGAGTAGGGGCTGCAAAGCAAGTCTGTGCTGGTGAGGCAAGCCCACGACACTAACTGCATACACCGCCTATCGGGGTAGATCGTTACAGAGTTCTACTGTAATACTTGCATACACTGAGCTCTGCCATCTCCGGATAAGGCTCATCGTCTGTTGTGCGATGCTCAATTGGTAAACTAGTATGTATCCTAAATCCATACTTCAAAGTACTTCGAAGTACAAGCTTAGAAACAATGTGGCTACTCTGGTAACCTAGGCGGATGCATTAATCAGACACCTGCGCCGGGCTTCCTGTTAGCTAGCTCGCAATCGGTGGAGCGCAGCAGCAGCACAAACGGCTCACCTCCTGGAGAGTGTAGCCAATTCAACTGATATAAAAGAAGCGAAGAAAACAAACCAACGTCTTTTCGGTGAAAACGCCTTTCTCCTGGTCAGACCTCAGTTGAATGCATCACTAGCCGTGTCGTATTGCTGTGCGCTTGGTTTGCTGTTGGCTCCTACCACTGCTCTGTTGTCATGGGCCCGCCGGGTGGATTTAAGGGAGTGCAAATAGCGATGTGGGTCACACTGCTGCTAGCCATTGTCTTCATGATCGTCGCCGCAGGTAATCAATAATGTACATGTACATGTACATGCACATCCCACTGACGCACTCCGGCCCTCATGCATGCACGTGGACACAATAACAATTATGCTGGCATGCTTGCTTTGATGATATCCTATGTTACCCGATGATTTGAATATGCAATTTTGATGTATACGAAAACCTGCAAGAGAATTTCAGAAGGGCATACCAGTACAGTCTTAATGCCGCAGGCAATACCATGCACGTTAGGGTGTTTAAACACTTTTGTCTCCGCGAACATTGTTAGACTTTCAGAAGCTGCATGGACCTCTTGGCCTTGTTTTATTGCTCTCCTTTACACATGTTGGCAGTAGAACTACGCTGAAAATTAAGTTGTAACTCGGCGGATGGCCATAACCCTCCGAGTCACAACTTGCATGTAATTCAGCCTACATGTACATGTACATGTAGTTCTATTGCTAACTTGTGTTTTTGGCTCTTCCCTCTTGGCACAGATCAGTTTTTGCAAGGGTATAATTAATAGCAACATACACTGTACAAGCATGTACATGTAGCTTGTGTTGTTCCCCTCTACATTACACTCATTGTGTCTCTGTGGACAGGTGTTTCACATGACATTGTGTCTCTGTAGAAAGGTATTACTCAAGGGTTTCTGCATAATTATTACGCATGTGTCTCTCTCTGTTCACAGCTGTCCCGCAGTGGTACGTAAAGAGCTATAGAACCTATGGACTCTGGAAGAAGTGCTATATATACACAGGTGGCTACTCAGCCAAGTCAATCTGCCGGGCGTACAGCACCAGCTCCCTAGCAGCGAGTGAGTAACACACGGTCACTTCAATAATGGCAGGAAACTAACACATATTTACACAGGCAGAAGAGACCAGAGACAGCCCGCCAGATAAGTTTTATTTTTTTTTATTTTAGTGACAAGCCACTTTTGCGGGCAAAATTAATTAACACAATGGATTAAAATGCACTAAAACGATGGATTCAGATGAAATAAAACATACACTGGAGAAGAAATCAGAAAATGCATGTGTAAAATAAAGATTGTCAAACCCAAACCAAAAAAATTGCCAATCAAAATGTTTTATAATTGAAAACGAACCCGCCAGATCACTGTAGTAAAGATTCATACCCATACCCATAGCGGCGAGGATAAGGCAATCCCCAGACAACTACAGTGAAACCTGTAACTAAAGACCACCGCGACTAGCGACCAGCCTGGCACTAAAGACCACTTCACCAGGCACGGATGGTTTCACATTCATTATGGTGGTGCGTTGCAAACCTCTAACTCAGGACCACCTGCTACTAAAGACCACTTTCTCTGGCCCCCAAGGGGTGGTCGTTAGTCACAGGTTTTACTATAGTATACTCCCCTCAGTTGTCTGAGGACTGCCTTAGCCGTGCTTGGTGCATAGCACGCAGCGTTACAACAATCATCTCTCCGGCTGTATCTGTTCGTTTGTGCCTTTATGGTATTGCTCCATCCTCGATGTGTTGACCTTTGTTAACAATCTGGGAATTCTTGCTATTGCAACACATACCGACATGATTGTATATGTATGGTGCATGACTTGTAGGTATAGTGAACAACAAACAAATAATGCACAAGGTTAGTTCGCGGAAACTCTGAGCTTCATGCAATGCAATCATCAGGCAACCTGAACCTAAAGTTGCTGTTGGCAACGCCAGTAGAGTAAAACCTGTAACTATAGACCACCGTGACTAGCGACCAGCCTGGTACTACAGACCACCGTGACTAGCGACCAGCCTGGTACTACAGACCACATCGCCAGGCAATGACGTCTCACATTCATAATTATTATGATTGTGCCGTGCAAACTTCTAACTAATGACCACCTACCACTAAAGACCGCTTTCTCTGGCCCCAAGGGGTGGTCGTTAGTCAGCTGGCCTTGCCAATTCCGTGACTGTAGCGATCGCCACCCAGTTCCGATCACGACGTGTAAAGGAGGACAGCCTCCGTCGCAGCCTCTCAACTGGGTCCCTCAGAGACAAACAGTGGTGGTCGAAGTTGAAGAGCGCTGCTGGCAACCGCACGCAGACCGAAATTCCTCTAATTGTTGATCTTGATGGCCGTGAGTGGGCAACGAGCTCAGAGAAAGCAGGGGCAGTCGCTCCCTTCTTATCCAAGAAATATAGCGTTGCCGGTCCGGACCAATTGGAGGCTGACCCACCGGACCCTATCCCCTCAGGTGCTCCACCTCTTCGCACCATCCGGTTCCGTCCAGAGTCTGTCCGCCGCCTCCTGGCAAGTGTTCTTTGACCGACTGCACGAGTGGGGCCACACGTGGAAAGTGGGTTTTGAATCCAAGGGACCATGACAGCCACCCTCAGATGCGCCGGCTTAGACCTTCCCCCACTCCTGTTTGGTGGCACACTGGTGCCCGAGCCAACCAGCATGACCGTCCTTGGTGTGAAAGTGGACGCGAAGTTTACCTTTAGCGATCACCTACGGTACGTGGCCACCGTGCATGCCAATGGCGTGGGGTCCTAAACAGAGTCGCCCACATCCTCACCGCCGCCGGCCGGCCGACTGTATAACACGTTCTTACGACCAATCATGGAGTACGCGCCTCTTGTGTGGATGGGAGTTGCGCGGAGTCACCTCCAGCGACTGAACAAGGTCCAGCGCCACGCACTTCAGGTTATCGGCCCTGGCGCACACCTACCCAGCCTGGACATCCGCCTTACTGGTGCCTCGCTTGTCTGCCTTTACAAGCTGCATCACCAGCCTTTTCCTCCGCAGCTGCTCTCTGTTTTGCCATAGCGCCTTGTCCCCTCTACTCGCCCCAGAACTCGCAGCGAGCGCGTTAGTGTCATTGGCCATGACCCCCAGCTCCAACACCAGATGCCTGCATCTGCCCTACTTGCACTGAAGCGCTCGTTCCCACACTGCTGCATAAGTGATAGGAACTCCCTCCGTGCTGCTCTTTTTTCCCAGCCTCCCCACAGAGAATGCAATCATTTAAAACGAACGTTTTTCGCCATCTACAAAGCGCAAACTGGCTGTGGACAGTCGACTCGCTGTGATGCTGCTCTCGTTTTAATACATAGTATTTTAGTTTCTCCCACACACTCGCTGGTGTTAAGCCTTGCTTTTTCATTTTGCTGACCCGTACAGTTCTATCTTTAGTTTTTTTGGTGCGTGTTTTGGCCGTGATGCGGAGACCCCAGGTCGCCAGAGCCATCAATGCCCCATCTTCACTGCTGCGTCTCGGTGCAGCGCCTGCTCAGTAGCTGTCACGTTTTTCCCTAGTCTCCGTGCAAATGTCTTTCATTATTCTTTTCGAGCTTGGTATGTGAACATAGTAAAAAAGAGTCTCTGGTACAGTTTGAATGGAACTAACTTCAGTTGTACATGCACTTTGTTGTCTCTTTCTTTGTTGTAGGCAGCCTAAGCAGTGCTCGAGGCTTCTCTACCCTTGCCATCATCCTTGCCCTAGTCGGCATGCTCTTCGCCGGGGCCATCGAGCTCATGACCAACAAGTTAAGCCTGCTAAGGGTTCCCCGTTTCTTTTTCGGCATTGCAGGTACGTGTCTATATCATCAGGATGATGCCAGCATTTCAATGCGTGTACAAGTGGTACTCACTTACATCTACACATAACCTGTAACTAAAGACCACTGTGACTAGCGACCAGCCTGGTACTACAGACCACTTCGCCAGGCACGGATGGTCTTACATTATTATTATAATTATGGTTGTGTGGTGCAAACTTCTAACTAAGGACCACCTGCCACTAAAGACTACTTTCTCTTGCCCCAAGGGATGGTCGTTAGTCACAGGTTCTACTCTACGTGGATAAGAGACACTCTTGCTTAGAAACGGCATTGCAAGGGGCAGATGTGTCTAGGCCCGTAAATGAAGTACATGTACATATATGTTGGGTTACGAAGTACAATTGCCTTCTGTTCATGGGGATACAGTAAAACCTGTCACAGCGACCACTCGGATAAGGCGACCACCTGCCCTAGAAGACCACTGTAACCAGGACCAAGGGATGCTATTACCAGTCAAATGACCCTTGATAAGGAGACCACCTGGTAACAGAGATCATGTTTTGAAGCTCCCATGAGTGGTCGTCTTAGACAGGCTTCACTGTACACGTACGTGTGCGTGTGATCACTGTCCCACTGTGCGCTTCAAAGAGGCTCTTGCTCTTTTTGCAATTGCATTTACAGTGTATTTTCAATCCCTGTGAGCTGTGATCATCGGAAAAAAACTGCGTGGCAACTTGGCCTGAGTGTAGTCATCATGCCTTGCGCCTAGCGAAATGAGCACGCTTACTGCAGCTCATGATACGTTTATGTACGTCGTGTGTACTTCGAAAGTGGTAGCTATGACGGTAATGCATGACAGTGGAACTTTGTTACGCATCCCATGGACGGCATTAACGTGTATTGATTAACGTAATGTTAGTCTCTGAGGTACACTGTACGTAAGATGTTTTAGTAGAGATCAATACACCCGTGTTCCCGGCAATGCCCGTCCTAAAGTAAGCCATAATTTTAATTATTATGTTAAAGTACAGTCATGTACATGTGCATGGACATGTGTATGTCTTACCTGAGTAGATTCTACGTGCTGAGTGAGTTCCATTTCTGCAAACAGGAGTACAATAACAGCATTAGCAATAGGCAATAATTATTCAGACAAAGTGACCGTGGCGCGACAGAGCATACAGTCAGCGTGACACCAGCAAGAGCAGTGTCCTACACAGGGGAGCAGATGGTCATCTCACCAGGTCATGACACAGTGGCACCACTCCACCGCATTCTGCATGGAGATCGCTCCAAGAGCGGCATCTCAAGGTAGTCCTGAAATATAAACTGCTTTCTGAAAGAACGGTACATTATACTTCAACATTGCTTCGTTTCGTCCAAGGAAAAGAAACAGTTCAAATGTTACTTTTGAACTAAAAACGTACAGCTAATAAGTCACGACGAAGTGGTGCATGCTCAGGTATATCCAGATATCGACAAAAAAACAGCTGCACATGTAAGTCATACAGCAGTACAACTTTTGCAGGACTAAAAATCTATCCAAAATTTGCAGGTAAGGAAAAGGGGTAAAACGAATCCATTTGAAGTGACCTTCGGTGCGGTCGATTATGGCGATATTAATTTTGTTGTCTATCTGATATTGCATGTCTGTTGCGTTTGCTGTTCTGCGTTGTTCAGGTGGCTTTACGGCGATCTCCGCCCTCTCGTTTGTGGCATGGGTTCACATAGAAGACGACTTCTACGGCAACTACAGCTATGGCGCTAGCTTTGGCCTGGCCTGGGTTGCCGTGTTCTTGTCCGTCGCCGCAACTGCCTTTGCACATCTACACCACAGGGCGCTGGTAAGTACATGTACATGTACATGTACCAACAAGAACAAGACAGTGAGACAAAGAGTGTTTTTCGTAGCTTTTCACTCCGAGTTTCGCGAACTAACCGATCATCAGAAAACAGTATACTAGGTAAATCTAGACACTGGTTAATTATACACGCACAAAGCAAAGTGTAAATGAATGACAGCTGGTAAGTACGATGATGTGCAGTGCTGATGACAATAATTATGCTGTACCATGCTGACGAGAAAAAAATAATGTATCATTTGTAAAAGGACCTTCCAGGCAGTAAATCGAGAAGAAGTGGACGTGTCTCCAGACTCTCCAATTGTTGTACTTTTAGCTTATTTGTTTATAGGGTAGACAAGACTCTAGAAGCCCGAAACTTCTCCGCAACTCTCACTGTGAGCTTGCCTGGAGGATACAAGTGAACATGGAAGCTGACGTTATTTTGGAAAAAAATATTGTGCAGGCTCTTTGAATTTACTTGGGGCGACCCACGGCTGTACACGACTTGAACGAAGTGTATGGGCAATAATTATAATTACTCTTAGGGCAAAGGCAAGTCATAGGATACGAATGAAACTAATAGCAATACAAATGTGAACGGTACCATTCGGCTGTTGAATAATGAAACAAACTAACAGTTTCCTCCTCCATATGGCCATGCGCTCTAAATCCGACAATTGCTATTCTAGTGAAGATTGCTATTCTCGGCAGCCATCACTGACACCAATATTTTCAAACAACGAAGGGCTCTCGGTAGCAATGGTCGGATTTAGTGCGCGCGGAGGGGGAGAGATAGTTTGTTGTATATAATACGAATGAAACTTACGGTGAACGGCGACAACATCAGGAATGGATCCAGGCTATTGATTTTTGTTGTGTTCTGTTGGTTAACACTAACAATAGTCATGGTGCTGCTGTGTGCTTATCTGACCCAGGCTTTTGAAGCTATTCAGTCTATTCAGGCTATTCAAGGCCAAACGCCTGCTAAGCCTGTATAGCTCATGCGGACTGCATCGCCAGCTAGCATGTACTGTACACCGTACGAAGATCATTCCCCAGGGTTTCTAGCTGGCAACAATTTTCTTCTACATGTAGTTTTGCCTATTCTGCAGTTGCACGCGTGTGTTCACCTCATTGGCCTCGCTCGTTCCTCATTTGTTTTGTTCATTTGGCTTATGCGAAGACTAGCCAAGTTTGCTTGGTGATGTCAACGCGGACAAGCTTATAATAGTGTACCAATACCCTTTCCTCGCATTGCAAATTTTATGCATAAAGTCTCTTTTAGGATATTTCCTGGACACCTCAGCGCTCGAAGACATCCATAATACTGTATGTAGTGAAAGTCACCACGAATCGCGCACACTACTTTTCTGGTAATGTTCTTGTGCGATCCACCGAGGAATTTGGGTGGATCTTTTACTAGCATGCCATTTTCTATAACGCTCTAAACGACTTCATTGCTAGACGTAATTGTGTATATTCTCTGACGATCACTTGTCGCAATTGAAATCAGCATCGTGAAGAAGAGGTCTCACCCATTGAATTGCATGACTACATTTGCAGTATGGTTGTGTTCGTTGCGTATCCTGAAATGAGCCCTTCATTGAACGTACGAAACCCTAAAAGAGACGGTGAACCTACTAAATGTGCAGAAGTTTGGATCAACGGCCTACATATTGAATATGCACACAGGTAGCCCTTTTTCCAGCTCTCTTTGGAGAGTTAGATACCAACACAAAATCAAGCTCTGCAGCGCCTTTTTTTGGGCTGCAAGATCTTTCTTCCTACCTTATCATATGCCTGTCAATCTGAACAGAGAGGCCCGTAAGGCATGATGATCCAAGCTGGCATAGTACATGCCCTTTGTTATGAAGACATTGTTCGTGTTCATTCTTCCGGTGCGTTCTCCTTAGAATGATAAGCAGAACGTGTGTTCTCCTTAGAATGATAAGCAGAACGTGTGTTCACAGTCGCGTTCACTGTTATCGTTGTTCTTGTCTACCATCTTGTGAGAAAACGTACTAGAACCATTCCCAGGATGAGGTGCAAAGTGAAGTGTTGACAAGATAGAACCAGAACCGCTTGTGGGGTGGGCATGCATGGTGTTTTATAACTTTTAGATCGTTGCAAAAAAATTAGGAAAGTACGCAGGCATACAATTTTAAAATGAAAATATGGAAACGGTGGGTGACAAGTTACGCGTCAGACTCCACCAACTGAAGCAGATTTTTTGAAAGGTCTGATATGCACAAGTTAATTTGTGCCCCACCGTTATCCGCGGTTTTATTTTAGTATTGTCTTGGCTCACCACCTGTGTTCATATCGTAATTACTTACCTGTCCTTGAGCAGAGATGTGTGATGGAAGTGGGCAAAAATGGTCAGAAGCGTGCCCAATGCTACATCCTTTCTTTGTTTTGAGTTCTTTGGGGAAGTGTGTGTTGTTCCCTACATCGGAGCTCGCGGTTTTCCTGCCGACTTGAATTCTCACTTGACTAACTCACAACTGCCATCCAGCGCACACGAGAAGTCCATCGAACCGTCCACTCGGCAAAACTTCAAGAAAGCACCACTCCCGGCTCCACACACAGTGAGCCTCTTCTTCACATTTGAGTTCTTTACATTTTAAAATTGTCTTGCTTTTAGCTGCATATTCTAATACTGATCAAGAAGGTAATTCTGGCCGTACAAGGGGCTTGAGTCAGTGCAAGACGGAAGCTAGTGTGATACAGTCCCACGTGCGACTTGAGAGACCCGCCAGATATGGACATGAAACATGAGCACGTCAGTGCAGTGCATACAGCTACGAAAAACGCAACAAAAAGTAGGAGTAAGAATATTAGCAATACACAGAATCGTAGCATGGTGGCTTCGATATTTGAGCGCACCTGGTGTCGGAAGAACACATTGTGCACTATGTCGAACTTGCAATCCTTCCCTTCCTGAGTCTATTCACCGTTGTGCAACAGAGAAACTGGTACCACCTTCTAAATTGGTCATTGCAGGAATTACCCTCACAGAGTGAGGTCGGAGTAGACTTCTGTTTGGAATTTCTTTGCAGCCGTCATGTTTCCTGTACTACATACTTTGTACGTGTCCCAATTGCTAACTCGGATACAAGACAGAGAGAGAGAGAACGTGTAGATGCCACCGACGGTTCACGAGCACATTATGAGAGGGTTTGTGTGCCTACAACCGGCAGTATTATACAGAAGTTGGTCATGGTGCCGAACGTCTGAATTATCAATTGGAATCACTATTATTATGTACATGTATTATTGTTGATGGCAGACTTGTAGGAGAAACTCGCGGGACTCCTGAATACCCTTGTAGGTCCGGTATAAGCGTGCATTAGATATTGGCACTGCTGGCAGGATATAACAACCAGAATTATACCGCGAAACTGCAGCACGCAAATTCGAAGAACTTGGAACTCACGTAGTATGTACAGGTACATATACATATACAGCTCTTCATAAGCTGTTTACGGAGACTCTGTAATGGTATTTTTATTTCCTTTATTTCTATGTATTTATTTTTTCACGGAGGAGGCGGACAGCCCGAACCTGCCGGTTAACCCGGTTTTCAATTGATTGCTTTGAGTTTTTTCCAGTACAAGGCGCGGTTCCAAAGTGAAAAATAAAGAAAGAGATTCTCTTGCTTATTATGATAATAGTCCGGAGCACGAGTGTATTATTGAGCCACGCTGAAGTACCCGGTAATTTGGGATAAGAAGTATACGTATATTAGAAGTATATCCCCCCCCCCCTTTATGTTCAGGCTGCCCGTTTAGGAGCCATCAGTTGCCTGACGATCGTAGTAATACGTGAAACTCAGAGTTGCGACATAGCTTCCAATCTCTCTTGTGTAAGAAGCATATGACTATATATGTATGTACTTCGGGTATAATTATTATGTACATGAGCATGTAAGTGCAAGTACCTGCTGCCCATGGTGGGGCGTCGTGAAAGAGCTCTACTCTTCTCAATTTTGTTCCTTGAATTGTGGTTTGACCGTATTGTCCAGTGGTCTTGCCAGTATAGTCATCGACATGCATGACCATCCGCCAACGTCCTTCACAGCTGAGACTTTCAGCTCGTGTCTATCTTGGTTGCGCTCACCTTCCCCTCCTTATGTTGTCTCTATAACTTAGAACCTTCCAAGTTGGAAGGCTGTTGGAGTGCGCATCCAAGATGTGCTAGAGCTGTTAGCCAGTTAGTTGTAGAACGTCAGTACCGACGGTCAGTGTTGTGCAATGTTATCGCATGAGCTGATTGTTTAGTAACTGGTGGTGTTAGTGGACATTATAGCGTAACTTGTAGTTTCTTGGTCCTTTTTTTGTTTTTGTTTTTTACTAGCAAACACAGCCCTACTAATATTCAGGGGAAGAGGACAACTGAACTGACACTGGACAGCAAGACAAAGGGGAGTAGCGGCGATGTGCCGATGTGGTTGGCGACTGTACTTCGGACACTTAGTACCCACTGCCTATGGGGTTCACTGGTGGATCTAGTGTAATAAAACAGTGCGCCCAAGGCTCCAAGCGTCTTGTACGGGCAAAATACATAAAAGCGCAACCTCAACTTGCAGCACATGAGCTAAAATGGAGGGAAATGAACTCAAGCGCAACCTCAACAGGAAGAAAATGAGATAAAATGGATGGAGGGAGCTAAGATGGCTGTGCCAACAGTCTATTATCGAGGGAGCTAAACTCATAGCTCATGGCTGGCTAGCGTTCGAGTGCAGCCCCCACGGCAACCAGTGACGCTGGTGAGGAAACATCGTGAGACGCTCTGAGGGAACGCGAACCACGAAGACACATTACGCTTGAGCTAAGCAGAGCGAAGCTATGGGGGCGGGGGTCTAATGTAATTGCTTACACTGAGCTCTGCCATCTTCGGATAAGGCACATCTTCGATCTGTTGTGAGATGCTCAATGGGTGCACTAGCACAGTGCTGGCAACTGAAATCCGACACCCTGAGCGGCGCGCTCCACATCGTAACACTACGAAATAGAGGCCGCTAGAAAGTGAACGCACCGCCCAGGGGGTCGGATTTCAGTTGCCAGGACTGTGTGTACGCTCAATCTATACAAGCCTACAGTAACACTTCAGCCAGTACAGTAAACCAGGCGGATACATTTTAATCAGACATCTGCGCCTTGCATCCTGTAAGGCAGAACCCGAACGATGGAGCGAAGAAGCAGCGCTAACGGCTCACATCCTGGAGAGCATGTACTAGTAGCCAACTCAACTGATATAAAAGAAGCGAGGAAAACAAACCAACGTCTTGTCGGTGAAAAAGTCTTTCCTGGTCAAATCTCAGTTGAATGCAGTACTGCCGTGTCGTAGTCCTTTGCGCTTGGTTTGGTGTTGGCTCCTGCCGCTGCTCTGTTGTCATGGCCCCACCGGGTGGCTCTAGGGGTGGCTTTAAGGGAGTGGAGTTGGCCATGTGGTGCACACTGCTGTTCGCCATTGTCTGCATGATCTGCGCTACAGGTAATCGATATGTACATGCACATCCCACTGACGCATTTCAGTCCTCATATCATGCATATACGGGCATACTATTTTGATGGCATGCTTGCTATGATTATACTTGGCCCGACTTATTAAGTTAAAATGTGTGCTTCGTTTCCGAAAAAAAAAAGTAAATTATCGTATCCGTTCCCGAAGGGAACTCACGACGGCCGCTAACACCCGATAAACCCTAGCGGCAGATGCAGCGCCTAACGGTGGGGTTTCCGAAGCCTACCAAAAAAACTCAAATAATCTCAGAACGGAATATACTTCCCAGCTACCTAACAGTGTCCTTCAGTTGTCGATTTGCGATATTGAGGAAGGAACGGCTCGAACTCCAAAGGAGGCACCGCCTCAAACTTTCGCGTTCAAACTTGTCGTCAGCGGACCCCTGTTGCTTCACACGCAACACTGAGAAGGCCTGGTGCTGATGACTACAATGTGATGGAGAATTGCCACGGAGTACGAGAAACTCCTGGACGATCGTTCTCGATTCCCTCCTGGCGTATTGAAATTGCTGCAGTTACTGTTTCCTGGGAAGAATTTTCAGCAAATGCATCATCCAGAAACTCGTGCAGCAGCACAAGCATCGCATCGTCCAGTAACTCCAATTTACTATCTCTCGAAGTCGTTCATGATGTGGTGGCCGACGAATCAAGATCACAGAAGAGATCGCCGAGAAGCTGATCGAAATAAACAACTTCTACCCCTGGAGTCGCCTCTCATGCGAGAAACTGGCTGGAAAACTGAAACGAACAAAGAGTGAATTATTCTGCGGATATGGTGCTCTGTGAGCGCGCAAGGATGAGCGCGCACGGTCTGACTGTACGACATAGACTGCCGGTACGCGGAACACAGTGATGAGAAGCGATTTTTTTCTCGTGCGCGGTGGTCTACCTGTTTGCCTCATTTGAAGGTATCGTGGAAACGTCGAGTGAAAATCCCTACAGCTGCCATTCTGGCAGTTGCACTGCACGAGGTAGAGGCGAATGCGAACGTCAAACCGGGCCTATGGATTGAAAAATCACAGGATGCGCAGCGGAGCTTGGAGGAGGTAAAAAAACTGCCGACGTTTTGCAGGGTGACGTACTTGCAGATGCGTCCAGAGACACGAGCAGCCATGAAATCTTGAGAGTCAGCCCAAGAGATGATACAGTAGTTATCTATCCCCCGTCTCTTGGTTGATTGTTTAGTTCTGGTGCTCATTTGTACAAATACTTGAATTTTACTTCAAAAAGTAATACCAAACTTTATTTCAGGAGTACCCAAAGGCTAATTTATATCTGGGGTATCTCCTATGTGTATACTTGTATGTACTAGTAACATTTGAAGAGAATCAAACATTTTAATAAGTCGGACCAAGTAATAATAATTATATCCCATGTTAGACTCGGGTGGACAGCCAAGGATGAATTATTTTAAAGAAGAAAAGAGGACCAAAGCGCTACAAAGTTACTCTATAATCGAGAGGTTACGATGCACGTTATTTCTGACGAGACGCGAAAGTTCAGCTCGCTTTATTTGGCTCGCACGTCGAAAACTTAACGCGAGTGACCTGCTGCTCACGTCGAAATTTGGAGTTTCACGCCAAATTTGACGTGAAATTGCGCGTCACGTCGGAAATAACGTGCATCTTAACCTCACTAATATCCACTAACCTTCCAAGTTGGAAGGCTGCTGGAGTGCGCATCCGCGAATGTGCTAGAGCTGATTGCCAGTTAGGTGTAGAACGTCAGTACCGTTGGTCAGTGTCGTGCAATGTTATGCAGGCATATGCGGAAAATGCCGGCAGAAAAATTGGCAGAATTCGGTACTTTTTCTGGTACGTTTCATGCATGTTTGGTATGTGTGTAGTATCCCTGCTTTACAGTTTACACATGACTAGTAGTACATGTATTTTGCATGACTCTTATTGTTTAGAAGCATACAGTACTTCCTACATTTACGATTGTTCTTCCTTGATCCTTGCATGGCGCCACTACACACTGGAGAGTAGCTAGACCAACACTAATTATCAGTAGTCTTCATTGTTTCCAAATACAATACTTGTGCCGCTATGCTTCATTTGCAAGAGGTCCTTGTGCAGTTGTATGGACTTATCTTCACTGCGATATCTGTGTAATGCTCCAATGCTTCCTTTTAAGCACTGAGACGTGCTGCGAGTAATCAATGGCATTTCCAGATTGCTTGCTACACTTTCACATACATTCTTTAGCTGTTTTGCTGCCTGCTGCTTGTTTCCCGCAATAGACCCCAGCTGAAGCTTCCTAGCTGGTCCCCTTGCCAACAGCCTTGTTAGATTCTGTATAAGTTCTCTAGTTTGCATCTCAAAGAGATCAAAGAGAGAGAGAGAGATCAGAGAGAGAGGAGAGAGTCGTGGTTGAGAGAGAGCAAGTTCACTTTCACTTTGATATAAGATAACCTCCAGGCCGTGCCGGAGTAAGTTCTGATATGTTAGTTGACTGACTGTGGGTAGTAGCCTCCTAGCCTTAGACCACGCACTTTACATTGGTGGCAGCGGTGGTTCAATTTTATAATTGCTAGATTCGAACCCACCTAGTATCTGTATTGCATGGATGGCAGCGGCGCCACAGAATTGATGACAGCGGTAAATTGTTTATTGGTGTAACCGGTACCAGCATGGCCCAACCTGATGCGTCAGTCGCCGCTACTCCTTCGCCCGCCACGTCTTCCCCTAGCCCGAAATGATGACGGACAGCGTCTCTACCGATCAAGCTCCATGTCCTACGTAAGCTAATTCCCGATATGGCATTCTCTTTCCTATCTTCCTTCAGTCTTTCTGTTCTCTTCCGTCTTCCTTTATGCGAGTGAGTGAATCCAGTTTAGTCCGGTAGGCGTCCGATCATGGTGAGCCACGGTCTACCTAGCTAACCTGGGACAATGTGTGTGAGAATGCCCTTGTGTACTCAGTTCGGCTTGGTACTGCGATTTGGCTGGCAGGTTGTGCCAGGGTTGTGCAGCAAGTCAACTGTGGTTTTTTTTTCAGGTCCTATTTATTATTATTTTGCTTGTTCGCGTTGGTATCAACCTGCATAAAGCAGGTATATAGCCTTCGCTTAAGCTGCCATAAAAAAGAAAGCTCATCCTAAGCGAGAGGGCTAGAGGGAAATATAACGATAACGAGATACAGAATACAAAGAAATCCAATGAGTTCAACGTACAATTCAAAACAAGAAAGAAAGGAAAGAAAAACAGGTCCTATTTGGAGGACAATATTCCCTTTTTGACCCCGTGAGATGGTGAGAACCTGGTGTGCTTCTATTTTTTGATTTGTTATCAGTTCAGTTCTTCTGTCTACTCTAAAAACGTTATCATTTCCGATATTATTTTTGCCATATCCCGGTTGACGCTCTACAAGTAATACGCTATCTACTATGACGTTCACACCGCCTCCTATGATCTGCTGCTGAGCTCGAGCTACTACTTCTACTACTCCTACTAGTGTCAGTTGTCACCCTTTCGTCCGAATATCAAGCACTCTGTTCAAAGATTCAAGAATACATGTACGTGAATGCAAGTTAGTTGTCCAGTCCACCTACTGACGGTGCCTTCTACTAGTGAGTACTGTTCATCATACATCATCGAACTCGCTGTCAAATCACGAGGGCGTGATTTAGTGTAGGAAGGGAGGGTGTAGTATCCCTGCTTTACAGTTTACACATGACTAGTAGTACATGTATTTTGCATGACTCTTATTGTTTAGAAGCATACAGTACTTCCTACATTTACGATTGTTCTTCCTTGATCCTTGCATGGCGCCACTACACACTGGAGAGTAGCTAGACCAACACTAATTATCAGTAGTCTTCATTGTTTCCAAATACAATACTTGTGCCGCTATGTTTCATTTGCAAGAGGTCCTTGTGCAGTTGTATGGACTTATCTTCACTGCGATATCTGTGTAATGCTCCAATGCTTCCTTTTAAGCACTGAGACGTGCTGCGAGTAATCAATGGCATTTCCAGATTGCTTGCTACACTTTCACATACATTCTTTAGCTGTTTTGCTGCCTGCTGCTTGTTTCCCGCAATAGACCCCAGCTGAAGCTTCCTAGCTGGCCCCCTTGCCAACAGCCTTGTTAGATTCTGTATAAGTTCTCTAGTTTGCATCTCAAAGAGATCAAAGAGAGAGAGAGAGAGATCAGAGAGAGAGGAGAGAGTCGTGGTTGAGAGAGAGCAAGTTCACTTTCACTTTGATATAAGATAACCTCCAGGCCGTGCCGGAGTAAGTTCTGATATGTTAGTTGACTGACTGTGGGTAGTAGCCTCCTAGCCTTAGACCACGCACTTTACATGTGGACAAAGAAATGGAGCAGAATTCGAGGAATTACCCGCCATAAGGTTTGTACGGTTCTGCCAATTTCACTGCTTTTCGAGCAGAATCCGCCACCTTTTCGAGCATTACCCGCCAATGCCTAAATTGTTATCGCATGAGCTGATGGTAAAGTAACTAGTGGTGTTAGTGGATATTATAGCGTAACTTGTAGCTCTTTGGTCCTCTTTTCTTCCTATATTTATCCCATGTTCTCTGATGATTACACCAATCACTTTGATGTTTACTAATATTATGTGACAGAGAATTTCAGAAGCCGCCACTTGACCTTGATTCTGCTCTATATCACACACGTAGCCTGTCGTTACACATGTGTCTCTGTATATTACGCATCGTGTCTCCATTCTCAGCTGTGCCGCAGTGGTATGTAGGGAGGTCTATACGCGTCGGTCTCTGGAAGATCTGCTATAGCTACGACTCCCCGTGCGAGGTCTACAGCGTCACCTCCTCAGCATCGAGTGGGTAACGTACTGTTACTATGGAACTCTCTCTCTATCTCTTTCTCTCTCTCTCTCTCTTTCTGTCTAAGTTTCTCTCTCCTTCTCTCTCTGCTATTGGCGCGCCTGGTTGTGATGAAGCCCAGACCCAAGGTCGGCAGAGCATCCCAGACCACGCCACCACTCCCCTTATTCATGGCTCACACATGACGGGTTTACGTGGCTCTAGTAAAAAAAAAAAAAAAAAAAAAGAACTAGCTTCAACGTAACAAATGCTTACGAAGGCAGAAGAGAACAGACTAAAACGGCTAGATAACTGTTGTAACGGTGTGTTCCATGCACACAGCAGGGATAAGGCAATCCCGGCTACTGATCCCGGCATGCACACAGCAGGGATAAGACAATCCCGGCTACTGATCCCGGCATGCACACAGCAGGGATAAGGCAATCCCGACTACTGATCCCGGCACACAGCAGGGATAAGGAAATCCCGACTACTGATCCCGGCAGTTGTCCTAGAATTGCCTTAGCTTTGCTATGTGCATTACACGCAACGTCACAACAATGACCTATTCGGCTGTATCTGTTCTCTTCTGCCTTTGTGGTATTGCACCATACTTGTGGTGTTGAGCACTCTAGGCAAGCTGGGAATTCTCGCTATTGTAACAAATACTGAAATGGTGGGCTCTGGCACTGTAATCACACAGAGCAGGCATGCCGATGCCACACAGAAACAAAAAATCACGGAATTAAAGCGGTATACATCTACATGTGTATGGACCCTGGCTAGCACCAGACGTTACTATAATACAAATGTAACATATTTTGCATAGCTACGGGAATAATTATTCAGTTTTTTCGGTCTTCTGGGAGACAGGTAGACACATTCTAGGTGTTCAGGAAATATATGTACGAATTTTGTGCTCTCTCGAAAGCGCCGAAGTATTAACGTAGGTCACGTTTCTACCTGTTCGCCAATGGTCCATCCTTTCTAATTTTGTGTAAGATTGAATCTGATCGTATTCTTTCCTATTGGTACATAATGTTCTGAAAGGATGTTAGGAAATTCACTGCCTGAAAGCCTTCGTAGAAGAAGTAAGACCTTCTGGGCAAGATGCCGTCCCATGAAGCACAACACGTGTCTAAGTCTTGAGCACAGTTGTGTAGTGGATTGTGCTGGACTGGTGTTGGTTCAGATCCACGCCAAGATGTCTAGCAACATTATACTGTTGTGATGGGCTGAGCCTCTTGCACGGGAAAAATAACACGTTTGTGTAGCATCAACACAGTTACATAAAACGAATGACTGGCCGTCTGGGTGTATTTAAGTGGATATAATTACTACACGTATGTATATGTATATACTCTCTTCTTCTGTTACAGGCAGCCTTAACAGTGCTCGAGGCTTTTCTGTTCTTGCTATCATTATGGCTCTAGTCGGTATGTTCTTAGCTGGAGCCATCGCGCTCATGACCAACAAGGTAACCCTACTAAGGATTCCCCGCGTTTTATTCGGCATCGCAGGTACGTGGAAATATCGTTAAGATGTTACCAGCATTAAAGTAATGCGTGTAGCGTGGAACTCACTTACTTTGGAGGTACATTGTACATCTACATTTAGTATGTACGTCGATAAGAAACACTCTTGCATATGGACATTGTATGGAGCAGAGGTGTATGGGCCCGTGAATGAAGTATGTTTGGGTTACGAAGCACTTCGGATACTAAACACACTTGTCTTCAGCCCATGGGGGTACGTGTGATCAATGTTCCACTGTACGCTTGTCTTCTGCCCATGGGGGTACGTGTGATCAATGTTCCACTGTACGCTTTTCTTCTGCCCATGGGGGTACATGTGATCAATGGTTCACTGTATGCTTGAAAGGGGCTCCTGCGCTTTTTGCAATTACAATCTACTTGTAATTCCTGTCAGCTGTGATCATCGGAAAAACTGCCTGGCAATTAGGCCTGGGGTGTAGTCATGTCTTTGCACCTAACGAATTGAGCACCTTTCTTCTATTTTTCAAATGTTGCATCTCACAAATCACGATGAATTGGTGTACATGTAATTTGTATGTTCTGGTACTTGTATCTCCAGATATCGACAAAAGAAACTGATCGAAACCTGCAATAAAACTTCTGCAGGTGTAAATCAATCCAAAATTTGCACGTTTGAAAAAGTATAAAAAAGAATCCATTCAAGTGACTTTCGGTGTAGTTAATTATCTCGATTTTAATTTTTTTGTCTATCTGATACTTCATGTCTGCTGGATTTTTCGGTTCTGCGTTGTTCAGGTGGCTTTAAGGCCATCTCGGCCCTCTCGTTTGTGGCATTCGTTCACAGAGCAGACACGTTCTCTAGCAGCTTCAGCTATGGTGCTAGCTTTGCCGTCGCCTGGGTTGCTGTCTATATGTCCTTCGCTGCGACTCTCTTCGCACATCTGCACCACAGAGCGCTGGTAAGTACCAACAAGCACAAGAGGATGAGAAAGTGTTTTTACTCCGAGTTTCATCAAAACGCAGTAATGAGTAAATCTGGACCTGGTTTATATATCCACAAAGCAAAAGTGTAAATCAATGTCCGCTGGTAAGTACATGCTGATGTGCAAGTCTGGTGAGAAAATACTGAAACAGTGCAACTTTTAATTCGTTGGCACCCTTGCTTTCTACGGACATTGTTCAGTACGGATGCGTTGGATCCATACCGGAGCAGCATCGGAATAATAAGTATTTCGGATACTATGTTCACTCTCCTACTGCCCAGAGGGGTACGGCTTATCCGAGTTCTACTGAATCACTATGTACTGTGCCCTGCAGACCAGAAAAAATCTATCATTTGTAAAAGGACTTTCTAGGCAGTGATTCAGTGAATAGCGAAGAAGTGGCCGTGTCTCCAATTATTATTGTTGTACTTCTAGCTTACGTTTACCGGTAGACAAGACTTTGGAAACGAGAAATTTCTCAGAAACTCTCACTTGGAGCTCGCCAGGAGGATACAAGCGAAAGTGGAAGCTGGCGTCATCTTGGAAAACAAATTGTGCCAGCCTCGTTGGCTTTACTTGGGGCGATCCAATACCAGCGGGATTTTGTTAAATACATCCACGTCTTGAAAGAAGTGTATGGGCGATATAATTACTCATGGTGCAAGGGTAATTTATTGGCTACGAATGAAAATTACGGGAAGCGGCGACATCTACCTCAGGATCAAGACTATTTAAAAGTTTTGCTGTGTTCTGTTGCTAACACTAACGCTTGTCATGGTGCTACTGTGTGCTTTTCTTCCCCAGGCTATTGAGGCTATTCAGCGCCAAACGCGTGCTAATCCTGTGTAGCTCATGCGAACTGCATCGCCAGCTAACACTTACGGATACTGTACATCGTACGAAGAGCCTTCCCTGAGGTTTCTAGCTGGCAACACCTTTTGCTACATGTAATTAGCCTTTTCTTTGCATTGCAAATCTTATGTATAACATCTCGTATAGGACACGGCATTTCCTGTACACCTCAGCGCTTGAAAATATCCATAATACTATACGTAGGTAGTAGGTAGTGCAAGATACCACTACTCGGTTACTCGACTTCTCTGGTAATTTGCGTGTGCTATGGACACAGGAATTTGGGGTGGATCTTTTACTAGCATGCGAGTTTCTAACGTTATAAAGCTCAAAGGCACTTCACTGCTAGGGATATTGCGCACATGTATATTCTCCGACAATCACGTGTCGCAATTTGAAATGGCTCAACCATTGAATTACATGAATAGATTTGCACTATATTGTTGCGTTGTGTGCCCTGAATTCAACCCTTCATTGAAGGCAGGAAACCCGAAAGAGCCAGCATACCTACAACGGTAGTTGGGAATAACAGCCTACATTGTTATACTCCAGCAGCTAGGCCTTTATGTTTGAGATCACTGAAGAGATTTAGTCACCAACACAAAAAGCAAACTCTGCAACGCATTTTAATTTTATGCCTGTAAAATCTGAACAGATCGACAGAAATGTCTGTAGGGCATGATCCAAGCTAACATAGCGCATGTAGTTTATTATGAAGGCATTGTTCACGTTCATTTCCCTCCAGTGCGTTCTCTTTATAATGATAAGGAGAACGTGCGTTTACAGTATTTTTCACTGTTATCGTTGTTTTTGTTTACCATCTTATGAGAAAACGTACACGAATTGTTCCAGGACGAAGTGCAAAGTAAGGAGTTGACAAAACAGAAGCAGAACTGCTTGTGAGATAACAGTTAGGGTCGCATGGCGTTTTTATCAGTTCTACATCATCGCTGTGCAGAAAACAGGAAAGTACACAGGCATACATATACACAGGGACATGCTCTACTGCGCTTAGAGTTGCGTTGCCGAGTGATGACAGAAAAGATGATGATAGCTAACTGTGCGGATCTAGGATTCAAAAGAATTTGTAGGTAGACTGAATATTAGACGCATAGATGCATTTAGCATGGTAGTTATGCGCAAGTGCATTGCGTACATTGTCTTAGACTCCGTTCCGGTTGTCAATTACCAGCAGTTTCTTGTCCGGTTTAATAGGCCTGGGATAGAATAACACAATGAAACACAGTCATGGTGATGCACAGTGGATGAAACCTAAAAACAAACGCCGGTTGTCTGTGTATCATTTTTGAAATGGAACTATAGGCAATTTGGCCGCTGGCACCCCGAAACAGGCTATGCAATAAGATCACAATTTTCCCTGAAGCAATCCACGTGTCAGGACCACCGGTATCCCTGGAGAATTTCCCGTTATAAGACCACAGGAATCCATACAACCCTCTACGTTGCAAGACCACAATTGGCCGTCCACCCACGCCCGAAGACCATACGTTTGCCTGAAGCAGTCCACGCTATCAAATCACACGTTTTGAAATTTTAAAACGAAACATGGAAACCGGTGGATATCACGTTTAAGCGTCAGAGTCCACCAACTGAACCAGATTTTGAAAAGTCAGATATGCACAAGTCAACTTGTGCCCCACCGTTTTCCGCGGATTCATTTTGATATTATTGCCTTGGCTCACCACCGGTGTTCCTATCGCAACTTACCTGTCCTTGAGCAGAGATGTGTGATGGAAGTGGGCAACAATGGCCAGGAGTATGCCCACTGCTACATCCGCCCAAGCAAGACGAAAGCTAGTGTGGTAGTGTCCCACGTGCGACTTGAGAGACCCGCGAGGTATGGACATGAAGCATGCGCACGTCAGTGCAGTGCATACAGCTGCGAAAAAGGTAACCACAAGAAAGGGTACGGATATTACCAATAGACGTAGTGTGGTAGCTTCGATATTTGGCCGCCACTTCCATATACCAACTCTTCGTGCAGGAGCTATTATTAGTGGGTGTAGTGGAGCTTGCGAACCTTATGAAATGTTCTAGCCATCAAAACACAAAAACTTTATAAAAATCGGAGAGATCGACTTGCGTACACACCATAATTTAAAACAAATGCGTTATACTTATATTTTCGATACTTTCGGAGCATCCGTTTCATATCTAAAATTTCAATAAAACGAACAAACACTAATGCACAGAATCCAATAGCGAAAGGCTTCTCTGTGCCTAAAATTTCTGTTCAATAAACCTGGCCTTTTGCACTCATACATTCTCAGACATGATCTCTGTAAAATTTATTTCTGCCAATCATTTCATGGAAGCTCTAGTTCGCTTTCGCTGAACCTGGCCCATATCTTGTCCCCATCAAGATTAACTTTTAAAAGGTAATTGCTCTTTCAACTTACAATTGGTATAATATTGCTACACGGCCCTACCTGCAGCAAAGAACACTATGCGCGGTGTCTTGAGCAGTGTGCGCGATGAAGATGTTTCACACTCCACCACCATGCTCATGACTGCTCCCATCACCACCAGAACCAGAGCCAAGAGGCTGAACGCCTGAGCAGCACACAGTGCGCCTGCCATATACAGTTCGGGCAAATGGAGAACACAATCAATTCTGAGATAATCTTAATTCCAAGGACTGGAGAAAATACCTCATCACCGAGATTCTCTGGCCTTTTGGCCAAGACGCCAGCGTATATTTCTGGCTTCAACAGGCAGGCATAAAGGTCGTGTCTTCCATTTCCGGATAAAGTAGCGTGAGAGTCAAAAACTTTGAAGGCTCAGCATAATGCACCCTCGATAATTATTTTGACTGTTATCACACGAAGTTGATTGTTCCAAGTAGGAACACACGCTTCTTGCCCAACTTGACACTGTCAAGTGTCAAGTGTCAAGTTCGGCAAGAAGCGTGTGTTCCTAATTGGAACAATCAACTTCATGACTATTACCGCCGAAGTCGCAACTTCTAAGTTCGTATTATTACACCATGGTAAAATAAAAATTTAATAATATTATTATAAAGTACTATCCAATTTCAAGGACAATGCACTATATGATTTCTGTCCTTTGACTTGGTACCACCAGAATTCTAGGACATTGGCAATGCGGCACAATTTGTATGTATTTTCTATAGTCGTAACGTAGGCCTTGGCGGATAATTCCTGCAGAAAAATTGGCAAACATTCGGTACTTTTTCTGGTAGGTTTAATGCATGTTTGGTATGTGGATAAAGAAATGGAGCAGAATTCGAGGAATTGCCAGCCATAAGGTGTGTATGGTTCTGCCAAATTCACTGCATTTCGAGCATTCTCCGCCAAGGCATAGTCGTAAGTGCCCTTCACTGAGGTTTCACTGGCATCTTTCAGTACCTTATTGTAAGCAGCAAAATACCATGCATATGATGAATTATTTTCCTTTGCATTCGAAAATTATTAATTTGTATGTACATGTTTGTATGTACCCAATGCTGTAGACAGCAAGCTGTTTCGGCCATAAAGGCCTCATCAGTACAGCTACGAGCTAAATAGGCCGAGCTACCAGCCATGGTGCAAAGGAGGCACCACAGACATTAAGGTAGCTCGTCGCTCTAGCGCCAGAGTGCTCAAACTACAAAATGTAGCGGGCTGTTTGTATGTATGTATAACTCATTATCACAAGGTGATCGTAGAGGCATTAATCAGCGAGAGAATTGTGAATGATGTCTCTGAATCCAACTCTATCGTGTGCTGCATGAGAGAGAGCATGCAAGGGAAGACCCGTCCAACTTTTAATGTTAGAAATCCATGATGTCGCGGGCCTTCCTCTCGGTCGAGATCCAGGAGTTGATCCTTGCAGGAAGGGCTTGGAGAAAACGTCATGTCTCGTAACATGGCCAAACCTCATCAACTTAAATTTCTTGACTTCGTTCGCTAGCCGCATCCTTGCTCCGATGATGTCATTGATTTTTCCAGGATAGATTGGTTGGTACGCCGGTCGTAGTATGTTACTCCTAAGAGTCGGCGGAAGCATTTCATCTCGAAGGATGAATTTCTTCTCATTGATGAGGCAGATAATGTCCAAGATTGGCATCCGTATAAAACAGTCGCTAGCACAATAGACCTAACAACACGAAATTTAGTCGGCAAAGATAGTGATGGCGATTTCCAAATGAATTGAAGCTCAATGATCTTTTGCTTCCCTAGTGCTAAGCGTCTTCTTATCTCCACATCGGACCTGCCATCCGACGTGATTACGGCACCTAAGTATTTAAACTGGGACACCTCTTCTATTCGCTCATTGCCTACTTGAAACTATTAATTTTACAGATGTATTATTTCCGGATTCATTGACCAGCTTTGCAGTGTATTGCATTACTCCATTTTTTTGTCCCTAAAAGAGGCTCAACTACAATTAATCAGGATTAAACAACGTAAACTAACTAGCTTACTCGGTATGTTCTTGAATGGGAAGGTGACGAAATAGTTGTAACAGACCTTCCGGCCTACGAACGGCTCACTGAAGTCATCGTCACCGCTGTTGAAGCCCGACAGGCACATCTGCCACAGTCCGTATTCAGTGGTTCCCTTTCCAAAGTCTCCAAACCTGTTCTCCACAATCTCCCACTTAGGAAGGACTGGATGTGAATGAAGAAACAACAGACAACGACGCAAGCCACTGCAGTAATGTTATACACTACAGAACTAACGTTATGGCATGCGCTTCATGTTGTTCATGCTTACCAAATTGTTTGTGGAGCGCACCAGTTCAGAATTACTCAGTTTAATCGCTCACTTTGGCATCCGAGAACGCACTGGCATAATGATAGCACCAGCTGCATATTGAAATTAGAAAAACGATTACGTCCCCAAATACTCGCACATGAATACTGGCCAATTTCGCAATTGTAGGTTGAAAAGATATAGTACATTGTACGTGAACGTGTAGGCTCATGGAAGTGTACCAGCCTTGGTGGTAGTACTAGTAGCCATCACGCATCAGCCTTGGTGGTGGTAGCCATCACGCATCGACACCAGCTGGATATCATCAGCACTGCGAACATGCAGAAAGGCATGCACCCATCCACGGATACTCGGAAAGAGGTGAACTACAAGAATAATACTATTGTTCTGGATGCAAGCCACTGAACCAGATGAACACACACACACACACTCACTTGCACACGACCGCACACGCACACACACACACACGCACCTGCACACCCCACACACATACACACACACCCGCGCACGACACGCATACACACACGCTTGAACGCACACGTCAACACACACACACCATGAACACATAAACCCACTCCCAAAACCGTACGTACCATTGTAGAGAACCATGAGTGATTGGGTTCCCAACACCAGGAAAAGAAGGCTCACACGCAGAAATTCGCTCGCCATGGTGCGTTCAGCAAAATGTGCCAATCTCCGCAGCCTATCCAGCACTTGGAGAAAACAACCTTGCCACATGTACAAGACAACAAACTACAGCGGTAACGTGAGTAGCTCACACCCTAGTTCATACGTTTTCTTTGCTCTCCAGCAAGTCTTGTTGCAGGCCGCAGAATATGAGAATGCAAATACGAACGTGCACGCAGGGTGCAGGTCGGCATTGCTGCATTCGCTAGAACATTGCGCCCTGGCTCGCAAAAACTGAAAGCCGTCCGGAGTGCGCTGTTGAAGTAATCCCATTTGCCTAATGATGGAGGTAGAACTTGAAAATCTTATCGATACAAATGAACTGGAAGCTGGATCTTGGCCCTGGCCAGCAGGCCCAGGGTACGCTCTTGTTCACTGGCCATTTCTTAGTCACATGTTCACAGTTTGAAGAGACACTCGAGGTTGAAGAGTGCTCCCGACAGCAAAGTAAAGTTCTCGAGAATCACTTCCTCTTACGAATTGATTGAATGCGGCATATTCTGCATGCCAGAAGCTAATAGTGTGTATGACCCATGAACACGACCATAATGCATCCACCGACAGCATTGAGCCAGAGTCGGTCCTTGGCAAAGCCAAGACATTGTACACAATATTATACAGGTCAACGCGCTGCATACCGGTACGGCACTATAGCTTAACTGATAAATACGTCTTAGTGGGGAGACATCCATTGCAATTAGTAGTAGAGCCTCGCATGACTCTATGAGGCTGAATCTGGACCTTTCCGTTCCAGATTACCAAGGTATAGAATACGACGCGTCGGGTACAGGATGCAGACCATCTTCGACTTGCTCTGGCAGTGAGGGCACATGTACAGGTGTAGTGGGTAGCCGAGTAGTCGGATGGAGGCACACACAATAAGACTGTGAAGTAGGTTTCTTGGCTCAATCTGCCTGAAGTTATGGTTACAACTGCTCCGGCTCAATCTGCCAGGAGGGACTCTGAACGGAATATAACTGCTCCGGCTCAATCTGCCAGGAGGGACTCTGTTCTGTTCTGCTCTAAACTAAACTGATCTCTGGTAGAGCAGATAGGGCTTATATAGCATAGACAGCATATACATGGCAAGGGGAGAAATAGTAGTGCAAGGAGAAGACGTACAAGGAGCTAACGTGAAAGGAATAGGTAGGAGGAAGAATGGACCTAAGTAGCGAGCAACCATTAGGTAACAGGAATGCAATCTAACAGTATGAAGGAAACTAATGTGAATGGCAGGCAGGGTAATTGGGCGTGAAGGTTACTAAGAGGACAGCGGTTGGAAAAGCCATTTGACTGTGTGCGAGGTAGGACATGGATTCTGGGAAGACATCTGGCAGAAGAAGAGAAGCGGAAGATATCTTAGAACTAGTAATTAAAAGAGTTAGTGATGAGGAACGGGCTATAGGAATCAATGTAATGTAGTACAGCATGAATGTGTGCAACATGTATACAGGTCATGCCGTACCGGTCTGCAGGCAGGGTTGTCTAGTAGTCCTACTTCAAAGTATTAAAGTGGTTGCTGGGAGAAGCACTTAGGAGTAACCGGCAGTGTCGCGTGCTAGCATGAATACAGTAGGGCCAGGGATACTACACCCTCCCTTCCTACACTAAATCACGCCCTCGTGATTAGACAGAGAGTTCGTTGTTGTATGCTGAGCACTACTCACTGGAAGACACCGTCAGTAGGTGGACTGGACATCTAACTTGCATTCACGTACAGGTATTCTTGAATCTTGAACAGAGTGCTTGATATTCGGACGAAAGGGTGACAACTGACACTAGTAGTAGTAGTAGTAGCTCGAGCTCAGCAGCAGATCATAGGAGGCGGTGAGAACGTCATAGTAGATAGTAGATAGCGTATTACTTGTAGAGCGTCAACCGGAATATGGCAAATAATATCGGAAATGATAACGTTTTTAGAGTAGACAGAAGAACTGAACTGATAACAAATCAAAAATAGAAGCACACCAGGTTCTCACCATCTCACGGGGTCAAAAGGGAATATTGTCCTCCAAATAGGACGCACAGCACACTTGCTGTACCACCATGGCGTTTGAGCCATAAAAATAGTTCACAGTTCCAAACTGAACTGGACAAAGGGCACTCTAACACACATTATCCCAGGTTAGCTAGGTAGACCGTGGCTCACCATGATCGGACGCCTACCGGACTAAACTGGATTCACTCACTCGCATAAAGGAAGACTGATGAGAACAGGAAGACTGAAGGAAGACAGGAAAGAAAAGGCCATATCGGGAATTAGCTTACGTTGGACATGGAGCTTGATCGGTAGAGACGCTGTCCGTCATTATTTCGGGTTAGGGGGAGACGTGGCGGGCGAAGGAGTAGCGGCGACTGACGCATCAGGTTGGGCCATGCTGGTAACGGTTACACCAATAAAACAATTCACCGCTGCCATCAGTTCTGTAGCGCCGCTGCCATCACTGCAATACAGATACTAGGTGGGTTCGAATCTAGCAATTATAAAATTGAACCACCGCTGCCACCAGTGTAGTGGGTAGCCGAGTAGTCGGATGGAGGCACACACAATAAGACTGTGAAGTAGGTTTCTTGGCTCAATCTGCCTGAAGTTATGGTTACAACTGCTCCGGCTCAATCTGCCAGGAGGGACTCTGAACGGAATATAACTGCTCCGGCTCAATCTGCCAGGAGGGACTCTGTTCTGTTCTGCTCTAAACTAAACTGATCTCTGGTAGAGCAGATAGGGCTTATATAGCATAGACAGCATATACATGGCAAGGGGAGAAATAGTAGTGCAAGGAGAAGACGTACAAGGAGCTAACGTGAAAGGAATAGGTAGGAGGAAGAATGGACCTAAGTAGCGAGCAACCATTAGGTAACAGGAATGCAATCTAACAGTATGAAGGAAACTAATGTGAATGGCAGGCAGGGTAATTGGGCGTGAAGGTTACTAAGAGGACAGCGGTTGGAAAAGCCATTTGACTGTGTGCGAGGTAGGACATGGATTCTGGGAAGACATCTGGCAGAAGAAGAGAAGCGGAAGATATCTTAGAACTAGTAATTAAAAGAGTTAGTGATGAGGAACGGGCTATAGGAATCAATGTAATGTAGTACAGCATGAATGTGTGCAACATGTATACAGGTCATGCCGTACCGGTCTGCAGGCAGGGTTGTCTAGTAGTCCTACTTCAAAGTATTAAAGTGGTTGCTGGGAGAAGCACTTAGGAGTAACCGGCAGTGTCGCGTGCTAGCATGAATACAGTAGGGCCAGGGATACTACACCGGTATATTGGTAGAAAATACTAGAAATGCAAGTAAAAATATAAAATAAGATAAAAGAAAAAGGACCAAGGAACTACAAGTTATGGTATAATGTCCACTTACACTGTACATCACAAGCTACTAAACAATCAGCTCATGCGATAACATTGCACGACACTGACCGACGGTCCTGACGTTCTACAAGTGCCTGGCTATCAGTTCTTGGATGCGCAATTCAGCAGCCTTCCAACTTGGAAGGTTCTAAGTTATACCTTCACCTCCTATGTTAACATATTATGCTAATAGGAGGTGAAGGTAAGCGCAACGAAGACAAGCATGAGCTGAAAGTCTCAGCCGAGAATGACGTTTGCGGATGTACATGCATGTCGATGACGATACTGGCGAGATCATTGGACAAAACGGTCAAACCACGATTCAAGGACGCAAAGAAACATTCCACAATAAGAATTCACGGTTCACGTCAGACTCAGCTGAAGGCCGAGTTTTCCACATCCGAGGGAACGCCACCATCCCCAAGGATCAAGGCGCTGATTCAGCTCCTAAGGCCCCGGTCACACATGCACTTTTTTGGCGGTTCCACCAAAGCGTAAGTTACGCTTCCGCCGTTGCCTCGGCAACGGCGGAGGCGTAAGTTACGCGTACTGGGCCGCAGTGAATGCGCCCCAAATCCACGAGTGTACTTGACAGGAGACATTCAGCAGCATGTCAGCGATCCACGATAGCTCTACTTGTACAAGCGAAGGTCGCTTCAACTCGGACAAGAACATCTAAAATTTCATAGGACGTGCTGCATTTGCATTCTCTCCGCCAAAGCGGAGCGTTGAGGAGCACAGTAGTCTACATGTGTATGTGTGACCGCTGCATCGTGTGGTCCGCCAAAGCGGCTGCGGTAGTTCCGCTTTCCGCCTCCGTAAAAGCGGTGCAAGCTTTTCATGTGTGACCGCGGCCTAACGTGGTGGGAGGTGAGCAGATCAGACCCAGCAAAGTGGTTAAAGAACAAAAATCCCATTCGCTGCTTCCATACTTCCCCCTTGTCAGGCTATGGGTTCCCAATGAACTGGGGGTCGCAGCGTGGCTGGAAAAAGTCCTTCCGTCTCCAAGCAGGAATTGAGATTGATAACATCTGTTTCTAAATCAAAGTCTTAGACCAACTAAATGGAAGTAAACTTGGTGCCAAAAATGTGCTTATTTTATTTTAAATCAACCTCCGATGGCAAAGCCTATGCAAAGGAGGGGTGTTAGCCAGCCATGGCAGCTTCAGTCAACATCCACAATTTCTACCTCACAGCCAGAGAGCTGACGGCGACATCAAGGACATTGCTTTGTCGGGGAAGGAATGAGTTCCGACTGATTCGAGAAAAGTACACTGTGGATTCGCGACGAAAGGTTCAAGGTTACGAGCAGCAGTTCACTTCTACATGTTAGTTCAAAACCTCGACCTGCGAACATTACTGCTTTTGCCCTTTGAGTATTCATCTCCAACGCCGCGAAGAAAAGAACTGCCACGAAAATCAGGGACCTACGAGGAAATCCGAACTTCTGTATATAACTAGTATTATGTTTGGTGAGTGAAGACATTCACAATGGACGCGTTCGAATACACACATTTCGGTCAATTCTAGAATTAGTCATGGTGGACGCACCGTTCGATTACACAAATTCCATCGTCACGTCAGTTCCAATTCCGTCAATTCTGAAGAGAGGGCGGAATTGGCAATTTCAGAATTGGTAGTTCCAGAATTGACCCACTCGACGTGCATTTACATGTACATGTACATGTACATGTATAACGCCTTGCTACATGTAGGTCCACGTGCGCGCAAGGGTGCACGGGATCCCACGTGATCCCCTTTTACGATTTTTATGTGTAGTCGTTCATTTACAAAATTACATGGCCGCAATCCGTTCATTCTGTTCATTCGAGAATTATAAAACCTGTGCCCAAATGTGTAATCGAAAGCGCCCATTATTGTCTGATGTTGCAGCAGGCTCGCCTTGCTTGCTTCACTGCTGTTTCGTGTTCCAACACATACATGTACATGTACATGTATTTTAGAGTCACCTGCCAAATATTCCACCGAACCAACGGTCCTCCGAATACTGTGACAGTTGTCACACTGGCTGTAGGTCCATAACTTAAACCTGTACTAGGTGTGTTACTTTGGGGAGGACTGAAAGTTCCAATCCCAGGACGCGATATTGCTCCTAGCTATCAGTAAAAGTGGGTCTAAGCACAAATGTGATATTGGTGTGAACAATGGATGCATTCCTCGAATTTTCTACCCTGCTTGCCAAGACTTCATCGCCGTGCCAATGCGCACTGCGTCTTTCGTATTTTGATATCAGTGTGCAAAGGTGTTGGCGACTGTCAACGAGAGTCACGCCATATCATCCGTGCGCAAACTGTTTCAGCAAAGGATCATCCGATGCCATTAATTTTATTAGGTTGTCATTGCGCCAGAATCTGCCCAGAAGGAAACCTCGTTTGTCACAGGCAAAACACTCAAGCTGAGCTTTCACCAAGAAACGGTTATTAATGTAGATATTCTCCAATCTGCTTATTCGTGTTACTGACATTGGTTCGTCCCACTTCGCATCCCTTTACGCAGCTCGTCAAGAACTTTGGCGCAACGTTCCAGGTTCCCCAAATGTACCCATTTGCCGCACCACCAGGAATTGGACGGCTCGCACAGATAGGGTTCGACCTAATGGGAAACCACTCGTACTTCAGCGTCCTCAAATTGAGTATAAATAACAGGTGCAAACTTGGATTGTAGAGGTCCAGGGACAGTTCTTTGAATTTTCATCAATCCTTTGCGCTCGGTTTTCTCGCAAGGCTGTTGAATCATAACCAAGAGTTTTATTGTACCAATAATTGGCCATTCGTTGAATGCGCTGAATCAATTGCGCTTCGTCTTCTCCCAGAGCTGTTGGAGCGTAACCAAGCGCTTTATTGTACCAACTGGCCTTTCCAACCACGGTTCACAGTAGTGACAGAACTACACTGTTCAAGAGGCATGTGTGTCAGCACGGATCCAGCATGGCGGTTGAAGTTCGGATTGCTAGCCAGCGCATTGGTGACAGTGCTCCTGATGATTACCTCCCTAGGTTAGTGCTTGCATCGATGTGTTCTTTCATATTACAGTGAACCTGTCTAGGACGACCGCTCAAGGGACCTTCAAAGTGTAGTCTCTATAAGCAGGCGGTCTCCTTATCCAGGGTTATTTTGCTGGGGAAGCATCCCTTGGTTCTGGCCGCATTGATCGTCTGGGACAGGTGGTCGCTTATCCGAGCGGTCGCCTTGACAGGTTTTACTGTATGTATTGCATTGCCGTTTTGCTGGTGTAGACACAGTATTGACATGCTAACAAAAACGTCCAACTCGGGTAGGGAGCGCTTGTAAATGTGTTGTGTTTCTTGAATCTTGACCCCCCTCCAAACTTACAACCAAGAGGTACATGTACATGTACACACACATACATGTAATCGAGAAAACAGGCTAGCGTCTACCAAAGCAAAGGCCAATCTGGTCAACACAAAGCCGATCAGAGTTATAACGGTCAAAATGCACAAGTTGCTCATTGTTGTGAATTTCAAGTGCAAAAAATACAATGTACATTATTATTTTATTATTGTGCAGGCAGGCATAGTGGGATGGTCTAAGACCATGATTGAGAAACAGAGGGTACCAGGTTCAAGTCCTGCTTGGAAGCGGAAGGAATTTTTCCAGCCGTGCTGCGACCCACAGTTAATTGGGAACTCGTGGCCTGGCACGAGGGAAACATGGATGCAGTGAATGGGATTTCGGTCTTTGACCACTTTGTGGTGGGTCTGATCTACTCACCTCCCACCGCTTAGGAGCTGCATCTGCGCCTTGATCCAAGAGGGTGGTGGCGTTCCTGCGGATGCGGAAAACTGGGCCTTTGGCCGAGTCTCACGCGAACCGTGAATTTTTTTTTTTTGCTTGTTCGCCAAGCAAGCGTGGCTTGTCTTCGCATAAGCCAAATGAACTAAAGGAAATAATGAGGAATGAGCGAGGCCAATGAGGTGCACAGTGGGTTGGTCAAAGACCATGATTGAGATACGAGAGGTACCTGGTTCAAGTCCTGCCTGGGAGCGGTTTTTCCAGCCGTGCTGCTACCCACAGTCAACTGGGAACTTGTGGCCAGGCACAAGGGGTACATGGATGCAGCTAATGGGGTCGCTTTCGGCACTTGTGCCAGTGGTTGTGAGACTTACCCACTCACCCCCACCGTTAGGCGCTGCATCTGCCGCTAGGGTTTATCGGGTGTTAGCGGCCGTCGTGAGTTCCCTTCGGGAACGGATACGATAATTTACTTTATTTACTTAATGAGGTGAACATACGCGTGCAACGGCAGAATAGGCAAAATGACCAATGTACATGTATGTAGTGTTTCGTACTTTAGTCTAACCAGACCAACCAGAGAGCCAAGACCTTAGTTCTAACTGTTGTACTACGATAAGACAAAGAACCTAGAACACATGCAATCTACTAGATTATACATACGGGCTAAAGTGGGAAGGAGGAATGGAATGCTAGATCATGTAAGTGGATCATGATGATGGGAATGATATCGGAATGCATGTATGCATGGGCTTCATGCATCTAGTCACATGACACTACACCTCCCTTTCTTTGAGGTCGTAAGAGCAAATATGGCAGTAGATTAAGAAGATGGAGAAGATACCTAACTGGACGACTTTGAAAATGAAAACAATAAGACCGTTGCAGAAGGGATCCATTACAGAGTGCTGAAAGCACTGGTCTGTCCGAGGGAGTATTCTAGTATAGTGCATTGTACATGTACATGTATATCCTCTCCTCTTACGAAGAAAAGACCTAAGGGTGTACAGAGGACACACAGGCACATGCAAGCCATTAGAAAAGAGAACGAGCAAGAGAGGGAGAGACAGAAGAGTGGAGTATGTTGTTTGGAGAGACCAAAGTTAGAAGCGATCGGGAGCGTGAACGACACGGCCGCGAGCCGTGACATACTTATCAGGCTGGTCTTGAGCTGGAGGGGTCGATGGCAAGTTGGGAACTGCAGGACACGGCGGAGTAGAAGGTTGACTGGCTGGGGGATCAGGATCGGTAGTAGCGGCAGAGTGACCAGCAGGCGGCAACTGTTGCGGCGTTGGCATTGGGACAATGTGCCGCCGGTTGCGTCTGAACTGGCCCGATGGGGTTGCTACGATGTAGGAGCGCAAGGCTGGTTGGCTCATCACGTGGCCAGACTCTTCACGATCAGGTAGATACACAGGCTGTTGGGGACACAGAGACGGCAGTGTCCGGGCTGCATGGCGACTGGCATGGTTGGTGCTTTGGCGATCCTTTAAGCGCTGATCCGCGGCACGCAGGTCGCTCTGATCGACTGGATGCGACTGTCGCTGTGTTGGAGAGAGAGGTAAGAGTGACTGCAGCTGGCGGTTCATCAGAAGCTGGGCTGGACTCTTACCATTCTCCAAGGGAGTGTTGCGGTACGCGAGTAGTGCGAGGTGCCAATCAGTGCCCTGAAGGAACAGAAAACCTGGGCGGGCTCGGGCGCCGAATAAGACGTAGAAGGCGCTCCACCGGAGGAGCTACCTGAACCACCATTGCTGCCTCCGCCACCGGCGGGGGAAGATCCGCGGGAAGCGGGTTGAACCGAGCTGGGGTCCGAAGAAGACATGGCTATCCCACCGCTGCCACCATGTAGTGTTTCGTACTTTAGTCTAACCAGACCAACCAGAGAGCCAAGACCTTAGTTCTAACTGTTGTACTACGATAAGACAAAGAACCTAGAACACATGCAATCTACTAGATATTATACATACGGGCTAAAGTGGGAAGGAGGAATGGAATGCTAGATCATGTAAGTGGATCATGATGATGGGAATGATATCGGAATGCATGTATGCATGGGCTTCATGCATCTAGTCACATGACACTACAATGTAGATGATAATTATCTTCAGCGGTATGGTCCACCTCCCTTCGGAAAGCACGCTCCCCACCCTCCCAGTCTATCTTATCCAGTATGTACACACGCACGCCCACCCACCCACACCCGCACACAAACTCCACACACGCTGTCCAGACCAGCTCACGCCGACGCTACATCGAATGTGAACAGGGCTTGAGTTTTTTTATTTTTTTATTTTTTTTATTTTTTTACTAGAGCCACGTAAACCCGTCATGTGTGAGCCATGAATAAGGGGAGTGGTGGCGTGGTCTGGGATGCTCTGCCGACCTTGGGTCTCGGCTTCATCACAACCAGGCGCGCCAATAGCAGAGAGAGAGAGTTCCGCTGTACATCGTAGTATGCATTAGTGTGCGAAGAGGGATCCAGTAATGGCCTTTTGAACTTGAACATGAGCATTGTGTTTACGATGTTAGTTTTCTCAGTCACAAAATACTCACGCAACGTGCAAGATTTGAACTTTCTCGTGTGAATACTCTGCACCGCCTGTCCACTTCCGAGCAAACATTCCATGGTGCAGTTACACCCCGCGTGAATCACCGCGTGATGGATTTTAATTGCCCGACGGAGTGCAAGGAATTCGCTGGCTTATTTGTGGCTAGAATTCTCCACTTGCGGCACTGCCATCGCATTGAACCCACACAGATACCAGATACGCTCCAGCGGCGGATCCAGCGATCTCTACAGGGGGGTTCCAGTATAGTCAAAACTGAATGCTAGTACATGTAGCTGATACTTCAAATTACATGTACATGTACATGGACAACGCATATGGTTGCCAGTAGTACATTTACGAAATTTAGGGGGTTCTGAGGAACCCCTGGATCCACCCCTGCGCTCCCCGCCAAGACACTATAAAGGCTTTGAACGCCTTTGAAACGTCTTCTTGGTCACAAAGGCGTGCCAATGATATTCACACAAGAGACTTACTTGCTAAGGACAGGCATAAAACTGTCATGAGGATGACGCATGCTCACCCAATTCATCTGAACATGATTACCAGCGAGCTGTAATTCGGAAGTGGCACTACAAACAAGCAAGTGGGTACTGCATGGCAAAATTCAACAAAAGGGACTCAAAACTCATAAAAAAAATCAAAAATCGCCAAAATTCAGAAAATATTCAGAACTTTTTGTGGAAACCCCTACACTCCATGGACTTTCTCTTCTCGTTCATAACTACACAAAGTCATGCATATCATGCAAAGTACATGTACATTATGACACATGAAGCGTTCAATGTCCACTTTAGAAAATACTTGTAGTAAGCGTTGAGGTTCAGTATGCACAATGGGTCAAGTTTGAACAAGCATGGCGTCTTTTAGCATTAGTACACTGCTGGCAACTGAAATCCGACCCCCCTAGCGGTGCGCTAGCCGCGTTAGCGATTCGTAGGAGACGCTAGGGGGGGTCGGATTTCAGTTGCAAGCACTGTAGTAGTAGCAGCCGTAGTAGTAGTAGACTATGGGTGCTACTGAGGGTTCGTCGATCAAGCTGAAGGTCGGATTGCTAGTCAGCGCTCTGGTTACGACCACGCTATTGATCACAGCATTAGGCAAGTATAATAATTGTAATCGTTGATTGGAATATTCATAAGTTTAGGGAATGCGAAAGGGAAAAGTCTAAGGAAAGAGTTGACTGTCACCATCAGAAATCGAACCGGGGACCTTTACTTGAGGCTACCGATGCTCTGATCTTTTTTTTCTTTTTTGGTGTGTTAAAAAAACCCACTGAGCTATGGTGCAGTTGTCATCCCAGCAGAGACCATTCAACATTTTTGTCAGACTTCGAAACTGTCACTTCCTGTGAATCTGCACAGGCTTGTGGGACGTAGCCCTCACTATACCCACACACTTCACGTACAAACTAGTACGCGGGCAGCCCCAATGTATCGAATTGTTGGAGTAGTGATACATCCACATGTTTGTTCAGATCTATGGAAGCCCCGCATCATGATCCTAAACAGCAGGGTAGTGTTTGGAAGACCCTTCCCTGACCTCCGGTGAATCGCAGCAAAAATTCCATTATGGGAGCGATCCTTTCGAACAATTGTGAGGTCGATTTTTAATATTAAACTTCCGAAAAGATAATAATGATATTGTAAAAATGGAAGTAAAGTTCCCACGTCCGTGTTACAAATGGCTATACAATTCTATCGAGAGACACAACCAGCTTAGAAAGTTTCGCTTGTGCCAGGCCACCAAGTGAAAATACGGACTGGTGAGGACGAACGTACAACGACAACGGAAGTGACAACAACAATCAATATTCGAAAACGTGGTAGACCGCGAAAACTAACCTCAATATCGGACACCGGACAAGTTGGAGTAAGAAGCTCAATAGAAATCCGCAATGGAGGAGACGTAGCGGAAAGGACACTGGGTATCGCGCACCCAACGGTTAGTGTCAAGAAACGTGGAAGGCCGTGGAAACGCGAAGATACAGATAGTGGTGATGCCACGAAGAGGCGAGATGACGGGACATTGGAGGAGACAACACCCAATGGAGCTAAGAATCGCACTTCGTCAATCAAGCAACATCTGTCAGCCCGTACCAATTGTCGTGAGTTGTACAGTGATAATGTTTTCTCAATATTGTCACGTGGTAGATGTGCGTTGCATTTGGCTGTGTTAGAAGCTTTGTATATCCGTAAGTTAGATCCTGAACTTTGCGTACAAAAAGAAAATGTGTTGTCGCTACAATTGTTTGGTGTTGCTCCTCGTCGAGGTGGTAACAATGTAACTTAATTTGCTCACTATGTTGTTGTCACTATTATTATTTTCCTTCGAGTTTTGTGTCGTGCTAAACTTGATAATTTTCCACCTTGCCACGAGTGTTGTTATCTAATTATCTTTACGCTATTATAAGTTTTAGTCTTTCCAACTTGAGCCATTCCCTGTATAATCCTTGATGAGAAGGGACCAAAAACGTTCGGATACTTATGACAAGTGCCTTATTATGACTGGATGTGTGTTTGCGTGGATACTTGCGACCCATAACTTACCTTCGTTTTAAAGTATTATCCGCCTCCGACCTCTTTAAAAAATTATTATTATTATTATTATTATTATGAAATGACATAAAGGCAATGTGCTAATCGAGGGGTTCATTTGATTGAAAGAACAGTATATGTAGATGTAGATGTATGTACAAGTACAAAGACAAGTATGGATTGATGAGGAGAGAAATGGGGAAAATCAACTGCAAGGTGGCGGAATTCCGTTTCTTGTGAAGCTTTTGTGTTCAATCTTACATTTCAATTGAGTGTTGTGTCTATTTTCGAATTTGGGTTGTCTTTTTGCTTCGGTTCTTACAGTCAGTTAGGCAGGCACAGTGGGTTGGTCTAAGACCATAATTGAGAAACGAGTGGTACCAGGTTCAAGTCCTGCTTCGAAGCGGAAGGATTTTTCCAACCGTGCTGCGACCCACAGTTAATTGGGAACTCATGGCCTGGCATGAGTAAAACATGGATGTGGCAAATGGGATTAAGGCCTTTGGCCTCTGGCTGGTGGATCTGATCTATCCTCCCCCACCGTTTAGGAGCCGCATCTGACGCCTGATCAGCGGGTGGTGGCGTCCCACGGAAGCGGAAAGGTGGTTCTTGACCAGGGAGTTGTACGACTCCTAGTTCTTGACCTGCCCGGTACGCGAACCCCTTGGAATTTTTTCTTTCTTTTCTGACAGTATGGTGTCACGCTATGGAGTATGGGCGTTGTGAATAAAACCATTCTCAACTGCAGAGTACAGTCATTCCGTTATGAACTAGTGTTAAGCTCATACCCATTCATGTACATGTATAACACTCAAGGAAAGGATCCAATGTTACGAGGTATGACTATCGGTTCACACATGTTACCAAAGGATGGTCAGCCAGGCAGTGCGATAGCAAATCACAAAACTGACAGGCGTACTGAGGCATTAGATAATCGTATGCACATACATGTACATGTATAGTGTGCAGTGTACATGTAGGAACAGGTTTTCAGTGCCCAGTCTTTAATTAATTTATCATACTGTGGAATTATTTGTATGGTCTTGCGTGCGCGTTTGTTTGTTACGCAGGTCTGTTCATGCTAATCTCGGCGTTTAGCTTCCTGGGCGTTCGGTTCACATTCACGGATACTGTGCTGCAACTAACGGTGGAGTTGGCGGAAAAGTACGGCGCAGGATATGGCGTGGCATGGGTCAGCATTATAGCCTGCACAGTGACTGCTGTGTTGGCTCATTTCCACCACGGCTCGATTGAAACCACCGCCGACACCAAGTAAAGCTCTCTTTACACCGCATTGAAATGTGAGCACTGACAGTTGTGAAGGACTTTCACCCTCAAGGAAAGATCCGTCCGTTCTAATCCAGCTCCATAATTGGGTTAACCCATCAGATCAGAGGCTCTTGACGTTCTGGTTACGGTAGTTGCAGGCGAGGTATGCTGGTTTTCTAACACCTCAAGATGATACTTGGATGGTGCCTGTTGGCGACATAATTATAACTATTTAGGTTTTCAATTTTTTCCGGAAATCAACACACATTCCAGCTTTATGCTGGACCAATATACATGTACATGCACACACTAGGTCTACATCTCGACACCCAGCTTCGGTGGGATACTCAAGTTGCAACTACTACACGGAAGACCTCCCAGAAACTGACGGCGCTGCGAGCCATTCGCTCCTGCTTAACTGAGCAACAAGCCCTGCTATTTTACAGATCGTTAATACTACCGGACATGTTGTATGGATCTAATGCCTTCTTCTCGGTTCTCTCTGCGCACCAACGGCATCAGCTTTCGGTCCTCGACAAGCGATGTATCCGCTGCGTTGCCAACCAGCCATTCCCCTCCCACACAGATCCCATCTACACCCGTCTAGGCCTCATCCCCATCATCCAAAACGCCCACTGTAAACTCCGCCTTCTCATGCTTCGTATCCACACCGCCAGAAATAGTAATCTCCTGTCCAAGCGCCTACGTCGCCAGACTGAAGGCGTCACTCGGATCAACGATCCAAATGCGTATGTTGTCCCTGCCACCAGGCGAGTCTCTGGTGACTGTCGGCCGCTCGTTTCTGCTGTTAAATTATGGAACGCCCTGCCCCAAGAGTTCAAGTCCCTCGCCTGCCATAGATCATTCAAGAGACTTTTAAAGGTTTATTTTTATGGTTAGCCAGCATCTAGGCTTGGACTTGGAGTCGTGACTCAACTGTGACTCAACTGTGCTTTCTTCTTCTTCTTTTTTCTTCTTTTTTCCCCTTTCTCTTTTTTCTTTTTGAGTATTTGCAGTCTGTGTTTTCTGTGTTTTTCTCTCTTTCGTGGAGGCTTGCTTGTTGTATCCTTGGCTCTCGGCCGTTACTTTATCGCCATCATAATATTGGGCACCATTGCCCGTTTGGTCTGCGATACAAAATAAAATTTCAACAACAACAACAACAACACGTAGCCATTATTGTTCTTACGCACATTGTCAAATTGCATAGTGATGAAGTCAGTATTGATAGGGTTGCTGTATTTTAGAGCTCCACTGCATCAAATTGTACATCTAGGAGTGTGCCCATCATTTCACCAAGATCATCTACATGTACATGTATAATTATTCGACATGACAGGCATGCTGTACATGTACATGTACAATCGAGCCCTGATCCTTTCAAGCCAATTGTGAAAATTGCATGCTTCAGGCACGCAAAGAATGCTGTGTTGTGAACTTATTTTGTTTTATACCGGTAGGCATTAATGACACCAGAAATTTACTTGCACTCACGCTGCTTCTGGAAAAGAATACACACGTAGAATAATGTTGTCCATTTATACATGTATGACTAGACTCGGAGGGAAGGCCAAGGATCAATTTATACTTTTATAGCAAAGAAAAGGACCTAGAAACTACTCATTACGCTATCTGTATCATATCGACTAACACCACCATCCGCCAACGTTTTTCGCAACTGAGACTTTCGGGCAATGAAATGCTTCACACCATCCGCAACAGAACGCCTGCCTGCCAGGGAGGAATGACACCTTTTTAGGAAGATAACTTTAGCAAGGAACTGGTCCTGCAACATCAGTTTCACTGCAATGGGGACTGAAACGTGGACAGAACTCAGCCATGTGAAAATGAGTGAAAACCTAAATTTCATTTTTTTTGTTCAGTTTCGTAGAGCCTATAACACGTGGAACAGGCAGCTGCAGATCCAGCGCTTAGCAATGGGGGTGAACAGTTCAATGAAACACTTGTCATAATAATAATAGATACCTGAGGCAAGTAGAGCAGTGATACTACTGGTGAACTCGCTTCTATTGGCTCATTATCTTTCCACCACTTGTGGTGGCATACATGTACATGCATATAACACATGTACTCGTATTACTCCAGCTGTCCTGTTCGTGATACAAGCAGGAGCAACCCTCTGTTCCATAGTCAGGGGTTTCAGAGCAATCCTTCAAATCTACCAAAACAAACAAAACAAACTTGAAGGAGAGAGGGAGAACACTTAATTCAAAAAGTAACAGTTGCAGTGCAAAAGAAGTGCTTCAATGGCATCGGAGCTACACCCATCCTCATCTGGGAAGAAGGCCAGAATCAACAAAGTCGTAATGTACAAATATGGTTACGTTCGTGATAACGGCGGTCACACCACTACTGGGCAAGGTCCCACATGGCGTGTACGAGTCCCTGATTTAGACCGAGTGAGAGAGTGCCGAGTTAAGAGCTATAACAAATCTGCATAATTAACGTCACGTAGACACCACCTTGAAGTTGAACATCATTGTGTTGGCTCGATTGACGAAGGCGTTGGTATAGCAGATGGCACTCACCACTCTCATCACGGCACTAGTTACAAAGATTGTTGTTTTGAGTGTCTCGACTACCCCAGTTTTTCCCAGTTCCGGCACCAACAAAATAATAAAGATTACATGGACTGGATCAGTGCATGTCTACCTCATAGAGTCATACTGGTCGTATTACTTGCTAGTTGCCTCCTGCATGAAGGGTAGCGCATTTTTGTGCCCACTTGATTTAAAGATTGGCTGACTCATGACTTCCAACCCCACGCGCAAGAGAGATCCATCTTACCATCGACAACATTATAATTCTTATACATGTAATCACCAAATCCGCGTGATCGAACCACTTAGTATTTTACTGAGTAATCAGCGGCCACTACTTGCATGTCGTATTGCAACCACTGGAGTATATTATACCGAACTAAAACCATGGGTGATCCCATTTTCGTTCAGGACAGCGTTGGTGCAAGGTCGATTTATGCTTGAAAGTCTGAAAAGCACTGAAACATGGAGCTTGAGAGGAGAATATTAGTACTTCGGAATGCCCTGATCCTCTGCGTGCTGCTCGCCTTCATATTCATGATTGTTGCGGAAGGTTAGAAATTGCAATGCGTGATCATGCTTGTTCGCTTTCTCCTTCCGTACTGTAAAATGTAAATATAATTATTGTATTGGAAAGTAAAGTAAAAGTAAATTATCGTGTCCGTTCCCGAAGGGAACTCACGACGGCCGCTAACACCCGGTAAACCCTAGCGGCAGATGCAGCGCCTAACGGTGGGGGTGAGTTATTGGAAAGACCGTTATGCAATATTTACGCATTCATGCAACGAGGTACATGTATATTATATGAAAAATATCATGGTTGGCAAAACAAAGTACCCGTCTTAGTACCATGATGCTGGTCAAAGTCAGCTTGGCAATGGTCCGTAACATGTGGGCAAATCTATTCGGTCGTGTCCGTGAGTTTTGTTTCGTATCACAGCATTTGGTTGCAATTGGTTGACTTATGAGCCCACTCTTCAATCACCTGCCCACCAAGCATTCCAGCCGCTATTTTGGGTGTACCTATATTTTCGGCAATTTTACTCGTAGGTACATCTGTTTTGTACCACACTATTTCCATAGCTGTGCAAACACTGACACACATCCTCCTCTTGGTGACTGCTTCTCTGTATCTTCATTTAAAATGTCTGTTCACCGACATTGGTCGTGTTCTCCTAAACCGAAATGTTTTGTGCGCCTACATTTCCTGAAATAGAGTACACCAGTCGTTGAAGATTCGGCAACATAGGGCTCAACAAAATATCGTCTTGAGGTCTGTTCTGCGTTGGCTAGCAGAGTTTGGTTGGACACGTACATGCTCATGTATCTGTGTGGTCTATTTCGGTGATTACATTTTGCCGCAGCTTCTACCACATGGTTCGACAACACGTTCATGGACCGAGAATCTGTGGGGAGGTTTCGCTTCGACGAGCTATGGATAGCAAGGAGCGGTCTGTGGCGCCACTGCCGGGGCCTGCAAACTTTCCCCGACACGATATTCGCACGGGAGGTGACGTGTAGAAAATATGACTCCGCTGCAAGAGGTTTTACAGGTAATTCATAAAGGTATTACACACAGCCCCGTAGTTATGGGTTCACGAGGTACATACATTTGAGAATAATATTTAAATAATGATAATTATACGATGCAATTTCAATATTACGTACATGTACATGGTACACTGACTTGTCAGTTTGAGCACTCTGGCAAGGTACGTTCGGGCCTGATTGGAAATTTTTATTTTCATTGCTATCATGTTCGGCCTCATTTCCTCTGTGCTGCGCTGATGAGTTCACAAAGAACGAAACAGCATGCTGTCCGCAGATTGAGTGTACATGGTACATGTACATGTACGACAAATCATATGCTAACACATTGAATGACCATTGTGCCAAAGGTACACGTATGTCCCCCGAAGCTCCACTTGACTCACGACAGATGCACGCTAGCTATAGCTTCATTTGGAAGGAATTTCGCTCGAGTTTTCCCAGCACTCGAGCACACCAGAGTGAATTTGAGAACAATGCACTAAATTAATGCGGGGATGAGAAATCAGTGGTTGGGAAGCTTGATAACGAAGTTCATGATCACTACAGGAATAAATCATGGTATAGCCGTTTATGCGAAGGTCATTATTGATGTTGATGTTGTTGTTGTATTTTATTTAAAGTCGCACCGCAACCAAGCAACTATGCCTTCTTACATGTACATGTACCGGTACATGTAAGCGTGCGACTGAACATGATTGTACATGTATTGTACATGTACATGTACATGTACATGTACAATACATGTATGAAGAAAATGCTACGCAATAAATGGAATGGAATGATTGTTGACTAGCGGAGATTGGTAAGATTGTCATGCAACCAGTGGCTGTGGCTGATTCTATTTTTGTCTGCGTTCGTTTCTCACTCTGTTTTACTATAATGTAGGTTCTCTTCGATCAGCACAAGCCTTTTCGGTGATAGCCGTGTTGCTATTGGGATTCGGTGCAATATGGTCTGTTTTGCTTGAGCTGAGGATGATCCTGCAGGCAGTGTTCCGGATCCAGGCACCTAGTGCGCATGCGGACACGCTGCAGAAAGTTGCACAGCTTGGACCTCGTGTGCTGTTTTCCGCTGCTGGTGAGTGCACGCATGGGACAAACTATTCGCAAGCATAATCGCAAGCATGAAAATAATTGGAGTTACAATAACCTTTTGTTCAACCTTACTTGTAGCCAGCCAGTTATGTGCTCTCAGCGGTGGGTATCATGAGGACAGTATCTGGGAAACACGTCTGTTTAACGCGTAAGGCACGCTGGGTATGAATCATTTCAAGCGACAGGATGGGCGATAGTCAATGAGAATTCTGCCTGTCGACCCACCCTCATTCTAGTGCCCTATCAATGCGTCACAGCTCGTTTTCTTTACCCCGACTCCCATTGCTATGATGCTTCTCTTTACCCCGACTCCCATTGCTATGATGCTGCTCTTGTCTATCCTTATCTACGCAATACAACTTGCTCCGACCAACTACTAGGCATGATGCTCCTCTTAGTCCCAACCCCTGTAATTCTAGATAGTGTCATAGTTTCTCCGTGCATCTTACACGGGCAATCTCATATCATGATGTCACTGGCCTGACACAACAACTGAAGAAAAACAAAAATATAAGCGCGCAATCTCATATCATGATGTCACTGGCCTGACACAACAACTGAAGAAAAACAAAAATATAATTTGTAACACGGAAATTGTGGGCACAAGTTATGCGATCGAGTTCACCAACTGAACCAGATTTTGAGCAGTCGGACGGGCACATTCTAACACAAAACTGACAAAGAGTATTGAGACATTTCGTTGGTTAGCGTTATCCAGCAGTGCTCAAGCTGACTTTCATGCTGTGGAATGTCTCAGTACTCCTTGTCAGTTTTTTGCTAGATTGTGCACGTCTGACTGTTCAAGATCTGGTTCAGTTGGTGGACTTGATCGCTTAACTTTTGACCACATTTTGCCACGTTGCAAAAACAATCTGTGCAGAGGTATATATATGCTGCTTTAGAACTACCCTGTGCAGAGATACAGCAACCATGAGTTCATAAATTGCGATTGGAAATATGAGATGCCTTACCTTGCCTGAGAATGAAAGTATAGCATATTTTGGAGGAACGGCTGGCCAAAAGCGAGAGGACTGGTATTATGTTGTTCCAGACCAAACGTGCTGCATTGTATTCAAGAAGCCGTAACGACACACCGATAATTTTTGTACTGCAGGATGGTGTTTGATCTACGCTGTATTCAACACTTCATGAACCTTCATGGCGTGGCATGCCACGCTGAACGCGTCTGGTTGCGTAGTGGTACATCTTAGGCTTTCTCGTTTAGCTTTAAGATCTGCATCCGCGCCATAGATCTTTGTAGGGTGGTGGCGTTCCTACGGATGCTGAAAACCTAGTCTAACTGAATCTCAAGAGAATTGCGAAATGTTTTCATCTCGTTTTTCTGAATTTCCATGTGCAGCTATATCTATGGGGCTAGCAGGGTTTGCTTTCCTCCCATTCGCCTACGGTGAAGACATACCCAAGGGTCGATCTGACTTCCCGGTCCGATTTGGCGGGGGCTATGCTATAGTCTGGCTGAGCGTTGTGGTGTCGGTGGTCGCTGCTGTCATCGCACACTTTCATCACAACGACATTATGACTGTGCCTACTCAGAAGAGTCCAGACGCCTCAGAGCCGACGCAGATCACAGGTGGGAATGTGCCAGGGAATGATAGTGGTGCTGTAGCATCACCCAGCGTCGTTCCAGTGGCATCACCCGTCAGTATCCCAGTCGCCATGCCGGTACAGCCTCCCGTGTCCCTACCAATGGACGAACCTAAGAAACAACCCTTGACGTCTCCGGTCAAGTCACCGAGAAAATCCCCAGTAGCTCCGCCACGAAAATCATCTATGGAACCGCCAAAGAAACTTCCGATAACGCCACCTAAGAAGGCACCCAAGCCTTTACCCAACGCCACTCAAGCATCCAACGGCAACGCATGATTCATGATAAAATAATGTTATTGTTTATGTCCTTGAGGACTTCAGCACACATTCTATCCTATTCAAACACGTGGCTCATTGACTGTTTAGGCTGCATCACTGCCCCATTAAGGTGGCAGACGGGTCACAGGCGGGTCAAAAATCGAAAAAATCGAAAGTTGTCAGAATATGTTCATTGATATCTCAAATGAAAGGTATAGCTCTGTAGTATATGTTACTGAAATTTTAGCATCGTCAGACCTCTCTGTGTGGCACTACAGCCCGTCAAAGTTAGCCCTTTGCGTTGAAAAATTCAAAATTTGAATTGAGAATTTATTGGAAACACATCCGGCGTAACCTATAGATTTATAGCAGTTCCAGCGGTTTTACGCTGCCAGGGGAACCATGCTGGTCATTCCTCGTGCGGATGAGCACGAGGACTGATCCACATCAGTTCAGCTGCACAATGTAGCTGGCTCAGGCGTAGGCGTGGGCGTGCGTGCGTGCTTACAAAAATACTCAACAGTTGTGACCAAATTGTCACGATCGCACTGACTGTTTTTCCGGATGTCCCTCAGCATCTCACGCAAGCATCGTAAAGGAAGGAAGAAAGGATCATCTAAATTTAGAGGAAATCAGTGGACAAAGAAAGCGGCAGAGACCAGAGCAGCGCCACCTGAAGCTGACGACGTGTTTGAGGAATTAGATGCAGATGCATCGCACAGAAAGCTCGTAGAATTTTGTTTTGAAAGTGACAGCAGTGCGTCTGACTATAGCAGTTCCGGGAGTGATCAAGAGGATGGCGAAGAGGCTGGACAGCGGCGGCTAGTTGACATCTCTTGCCTGAACACCTTGATTTCGTCGGCCTTGTGCAGCTCTTGTCAGCAGCCCACGCTGAGTATTGTTGAAGACCAATTGAAAGGTTTTGTTCCGCATGTCAGTTTGCAGTGTGCCTCATGTGGTGAAACCGTAACTCAGGCTCTTGGTGTAAAGGGAATACAAGGTCGTCATTATGACGTTAACAGGAGAGCTGCACTGGCTATGAGATGCATCGGAAAAGGGTACTCCGCAATGACGACGCTATTTGGCATTCTTGGATTGCCGCGTCCCATGTCCAAGAGCACATACTATGAGCACAGCAGTGTTATGTGCTCCAGTATTGAAGCAGTGGTTCAGCAAAGCATGTTGAAGGCAGCTGAGCAGGCTACTCTTAGTAATCCAGATACAGATCACCCAGACCAAGTTGCTGTGACGATTGACGGCACCTGGATGAAACGTGGGTTTTCAAGTCGGTACGGCATGGTGTTTGCTATTTCGTGGGAGACGGGCCAAGTTCTGGATTTCTGTGTTCTGAGCAAACATTGCAGTAGCTGCCAGCGTTGGAGGTCCGACAGGCGTTCTGGCAAAGTCTCCCAGGCAGAATTTGAAGCGTGGAGTGCGGATCATGTGTGCGACGTCAATACTGCTGCTTCATCTCCGGCAATGGAAACTGAAGGTGTAGTGACACTGTTCAATCGCTCAGTCGCTACCAGGAAACTGATGTACACCACATACATTGGTGATGGTGACAGTAAAGGCTTCCAGGCAGTTGTCAATGCCAAGCCATACGGAGACGTAGAGATCACGAAGGAGGAGTGTGTCGGGCATGTGTCGAAGCGCCTGGGCAAGGCATTGCGTGAACTCAAGAAGAAGAAAACACCGCTGAGTGATGGAAAGCCGCTTAGTGGTCGAGGGCGCCTGACAGATGATCTATGCGACTCACTGCAAACATATTATAACTTAGCCATCAGGAATGGCGCTCAACTACCTGGCGACCCAATCACTAACATGGCACGACTCGTTTGGGCGTCAATTTGCCACCGGGCTTCTACGGATGCAAAGCCAATGCACCAGTTCTGCCCAACAGATGATGATAGCTTTTGCAAGTGGCAGCAGTGGAAGGCTGGGAAAGCACCACCATATGTTCATCGAAATCCCATACCATCTGCAGTGTTTGAAGCCGTCAAGCCGATATATCAACGGCTAGCGGACAAGCCACTCTTGGAGCGCTGCCGACGTGGAGCCACCCAAAACCAAAACGAAGCTCTGAATGGTTTGGTGTGGCAGTATTGCCCAAAGACTGGTTTCTGTGGCGTTGAAACTGTCAAGGCATCTGCTGGACTTGCTGTCATCAAGTTCAACCACGGCTCCAAGATGTTTGAGCGTGTTCTTGAAGAAATGGGCTGCGCTACGTCCCGCAGCACCTCGACTAGGCTATCATGCATGGATGCTGATCGCCTGTATTTCTCCAAGAGAAAGCACTCCACAGCAGAGAAAGAGGCTAGGAAAAGAAGAAGAAGAGTCAGGAAGGGTCTGGAGGAGGATACAATGGAGGAAGAGGGAGTCACCTATGCTTCTGGTGGCTTTTGAGCAGCTTTCGAGTGGAAAATGTAGTTGAGAACACTTAGTTTAGATAGCAGAATATTCCTGTTTTTTGCCCTATTCCGGCACTTTGGGACACTCTTTGACTGTTGAGACTCAGTTTTAGGTATAGAAAACTATACATTTTTGGAAACTGTGGTGCATTTGTGTCATCATGGACCACAGTTTACGCCGAAAGTTCCTACTGCAATGGATTTTTGTTCCATTGAAATGTACCTTATCTATGCGCGATCGGACATTTATGACTTGATCGGTGGCTAGGCTGATTGTTTTAGCTTTTGGACCAAGTTGTTTTGGTCCATGATACTTTCAATAGCCAGTAGGTTACTCTTGGATCTTTTTTTGACAGGTTGTTGTGATTTACGTTGTTGTATTTTTGTCCCGAAGTTCGGCTATTTTTCGCCCGTCATCTGGGAAATTTGGTTGACGGTGAAATGATGATCAACAAACACAGCTCATTGGGTAGTGTCCTATCTGAAATCTGTTCGTATAAGGATTCAGTGTTGAAAATTTGAAGTGAATCCATTGATTTGTACCCAAGTTATGCTCGATGAAGCTCGTTTGAGTCTGAAAAAAGGTCGCGAAACCAGTCTGCCACCTTAATACATAGAGTCACGATACGCAGTGATCTAAATGTACATGTTCATGTAGTCCATCTTCCAATGTACTGTAGATCAGATTGTAATCACGGATCGCACGCCATGGTTTTGTTTACGCTGTGAAATATTAATGGCAGAAAATTCAAAATACATGTAGATGTTGATCGCAATCATTATAATTATTATGTTAACTATAGTACTCCTCCATCATGTATTATAAATGTAATTAAATTTTAGAATTACATGTACATGTACAGGTAGGTTTGTCTCATTTTCTAGGAAACAATCAATTAGCGATATCACCGGTGGATTATGCCGGCATAATTATTGGCATAATTTGGTGGTTGAAAATTTGGAGCATAATTTGGCATCCTCTCGGAGGTAGGAGCATAACTACACGATTATACCACAGTTGTAGTATGTAGGCTATACAATTGTGTACAATGCACCTGATCAGTGCTGGGGGTCTGCATGGTAAAGGGTTCGGAGGTCATGCAGATAGTGTTTTCAATGAAAAGCAGGGTAGAAATCATGGCAATGGCAATGCAGTCACGGTATTGTATGCTCGAACTCGTTTTCTTCAAAGTTCTTTCTCACACTGATACAGTACATGTAACAGAAGATGCGAGTGAATCAGCCTTCATTAGGTATCCCGTAGCGGACGAGATAGTGGCGGGTAGTCCGCAAAACTCCGTGTACATGTAAATTCCATTTGTACATTATGCATGTTACGAAGTCATGGCCTCTGCTAGTCTGGATTTTAGCAGCCATGATATTATGACTGCAGGCTATGGATATTGCTCGAAATTGATGTATAGTTGATGTTCGGTCATAATGAAGGGAGAAGTGGAGCTACGGAAGAGATGAGCTGATTATTCGCAGGGTGAGGGTGACATCGGTTGGACGAGTATGATGATTATGAAGACTGTGAGCCTGTTGAACATGATAATTTTCAAAGGTAACTCAAACTAATTTGGCAATGAAATAATATTTTTACTGAAGTACAAAAGAAATCAAGTGATGAATAGAAGAATTTTATGTTTTCTCTTTTCCATGGTGATCTCTTACATGCATGGACACCTTGCAGCTTGGTATGGGGATACTCAGGTATTTTGTTGTACTTATGGCCACTTGCAACTTGCAAGTACGAAAAAGGCACAATTTTCCGAACTTTGAGGCTCCATAAGTACAACAAAGTGAATATACATGTATATCCCCGGGTGCCAAAGCATAATATGAGGATTTTACGAGCATAATGCGAGAATCCATGAAAGCATAATTCCATGATTTCGCGAGCATAATCCGCCGGAGCCTAGCGATATTCCCGCCGAGTGCCTAAGCAAAGTTGAACGCCAGCTCAATCGTAGTTTGCTACTCTTTGATGATGTGCTCAGGACCTTGGATTAGTTTAAAAAGCTCGCTCAATTATAATTTTGCTGGTCTTTGCTGACGCGTCGAAGGCCTTGGAATAGTTTAAACCCCGCTGAATGCACTCTAAATACGTGCGTGAAGTTGAATGTCAGAGGAACGCAGTGCGTGCAATTCAAAAAGAAAGTCTCAAGACAAAATTCCTGCATTATGATCTTATGACTTACCTGTAGCTTTGGTGTAGCAGAGGCCGTCCAACGTTTCTTAACCAAGCGCACGCTTCCTGTTATACAGTACATGTACATGTACATGTACTACACAGGCCGTTGGTACGCTTCACTCGCTATACCCACACGCTTCGCGCACAATCGGTATTGAGAGGAAATAAAGAATTATGAAAAGACACATGGGCACGCGTTATGAGTAACTGCCAACTATCTACATTGTACTACTGCAACAAGATAATTATGTATTAAAAACGCAATCAGAAAGCGTGATAACTGGGCACAAACCTGACAGGCTGTTCAACGACCTGACATTGTACATGACAATCATGTTGCTCCAACACAATCCAATGCGCAAGTCAAACGCCTTCCAGCTTCTGACTGCTTGCGTGACAATCAGTTTGACTGCCCAACAAACCGTAGACGCCAACATCATGTCATGCGTGATCCTGCATGCATCGTGCTAGTGTCATGGGAATGGGACAGACATACTTATATCAGGATTCTTCGATTCCCAGGTTCTTTATGGAAATATACCAGGAGTCTATATACCCACTCCTCACCCTCACCACACAAGAGGACCACGCTTTACTTCAGGACCAAGTTGCAAGTGCAAGTATAAAACAGAACAGCAGCAACAGCAACCAACCATCCATGCCAAGCATCGAGCGATATACTAGTCCCAGGCAGCGCGCAAGGAGCGAGGCCAGCAGGCAACCAGCCAGCAAAGCATGAAGAGTGAAAGGCTCTTCAATAACGCTGTTCAATGGCGAGAAAAATCGAAGCCACAGCAAACTCTTTATTGGAACAAAATGGTATCCCCTTCTCTCCCCGGTGAGTGGTCGAAATAGGGGACCTTTAGAATAACTATTGCAAGTATCTCGGTGGAGAGAAGCCGTTACATACAGTGTCTGATTATGACACACAATGGCAAAATCGCTAGGGGAGCATGACGCTGTTGTGCCGTCCACATGATCAATGTGTCAACAAACTGAGGGGGTTAGACACCGCAAGCTATGTTGCTGTTAGTCTGGCTATTCATCTGCCACCATGCACGGGTTCTACGCACGTCCTAAATCGCATCTTGACAAGAGAAAAGCGCTTCATCCGCAATCGTCATCGTTTTGTTTTTGATCAATGACAATCCGTCCATAAATATAACGGTAAATGGATAAATTGGCAATCGTCTTTCACCTAGCGCGTACATGTTCCACTGCTGACTTTTGTCAAAGGAGATCATTTTAGTACATGTGTCATGACCGGGGAGTGAGCCAGACATACTCTCAGGATTCTACAATGCCAGGTTCTTTACGGAAATATACCAGGAGTCCAGATACCCATTCCTCACCCTCACCACACAAGAAGACCAAAGCTTCACTCTAGAACCAAGCTCAAACAACAGAGAAGCAACAAGAACAACAACAAACACAACAACAAGCTATCGGCGCAAAGCATCGAGCGACATGCACAGTATACACAATGTCATGTATACTGTACTGCTATTCAATGTAATTATGAACTACATGTAGTAGCGTGCACGCTGAAGGATCGAAGCGAGCGAGCAGCGAGCCAGCAAAGCATGAATGGTGATAGGTTTTACGTATCGTATGGAATCAAGCAAGAGTACGAGTGTGAGATCGCCTAATCACAGCCCGCCGCGCGAAGCGCGAAGGGCTGTGATGTAGGCTGATCGAACATGAGTACGAGTGTTTTGATTGCATTTCTGACATGCACCCGCGCTTGAAACTCATATCGGACTTGTAAATACTTCGCGAAGGGCTGTGATTGGCTGATAGAACGTGAACACGACTGTTTTGATTGGATTTCTGACCAGAACACGCACTTCGATCTTCCTATCGCGCTTGAAAGCACGACTGTCAACCTTCTCGAGCCGGAGTCAAGTAAAAAAAAAGCGAGCTTGATCAGTGAATCAAAGCCCTAGTGGAGCGGGCTTTGATCGTAAAATCAAAGCCCGCCTGGGCGGGCTTTGATGGGAAAATCAAAGCCCGCTCCACTAAATATGGAGTTCTACTTCTTGTAGCATGCTTTGATGTCCTCATCTAGGCCCTGCTAGGTGCAATGCGATTGGTCATCTCCGTGCCTACAGTCTTGTGACATGTCAGAAAACACTATTGATCGACGAGACACATCGCCGCCACGGCAAACACTTCATAAAGACACATGTAGGGGCAGACGGAGTACAGAATGATCACACGGACACGACACATGCACGTCAGAGTGCATTCTTGTACGTACAGATGCAGGAAGTAATAGATAACTAGTAAACCGTTCTCAATAACTGAGGCCAGTGAGGGTGCGTTTACACGACAACGCTGGACCAGTTACTGTACTCGATCTCCGTACAGACACAACATGCGCTTAGAGCCATTGTAAAATTTAATTGTAAAACATCGTGTCATGACGGCGTTGTTGATGCCATAATTCCAGGGAAAATCGCACTACTGCTTGCTCTGCTGCCAACACAAGCGTAGACTCGTCAAGATGACACATGATCATCCTACCAACACCCACTGACATTCATCCCGCTCTATCTAGCTCTACAAAGTACTAATAATCACGCTGCACCGGAATGCGTGTGGATCAGACATCTACCAACGCCACTGTCCTAGGCTGCAGTATTGGGTATTCATTGGCGCTACGTGAAGCGGGCTGTTTACATGTATGGTTGTGCATGTACAGGTACAAGCATTAGCACAAGTACATGTATGTACATGACTGTACACCTAGTACCCGATGCTGTACTGCAGTGTAGTGTAGACAGCAAGCTGTTTCGGCCATAAATGCCCCAACATGTACATGTACATGTATGTCGAGAAGAAACACTGCAGAGTGTGTGCTCTAGTTTGTATTCTCTTACTTTTCCCAACGCATCCCGGAAAGTATCCTCTGATCCAGACTCACCTACCAGAGTTCAGGGCTAAAGAAGAACGATCACGATGTACATCTACATATATATGTAGCTCTTTGCACACGTCCTCTTGTGTCCTTCGCCGATAAAAAGAGAATAGCAAGCGGTTTTCCGAAGCAGTTAGCCATCGCTTGCAATCACCAGTGGATACATTGTGGTTGACAAAAACGTATGTTTATCAGGCGCTGGTATTATTATTCTTTGCCGGAAAAAAGATGGCCAAAAATCTTATTGTTCCCCTTGTACTGTCGGCGGTGGTGACGCTCGCGCTCCTGATTACTGTTCATGGTGAGTTGTAGGGACTTCATTACAATTCGATGTTCTCTAAGTTGTGTAGCCATACATGTAGTTATACACCACTACTCGTGTAGACATGTACATACAAATTCAGGGAGGTTATCATTATTCTAATGTTATCGAATTGCTCACACCGTAGAACTAGTTTCTTGTTCTGTCTGTACCTTGTCTGTGTCTACGGCCAGTTGTTCCAAAGTGGTATGAACAGTCCCGAGTCGACAGTGATGAATTAGGAGTTCGCCAAAAGCTAGACACTGGAATTTGGCGATTTTGTCGAGAGGTGAACGTGCCGAGAGTTGGATTCAGCAGCAGTACTTGCAATGCGTTCGACATCACAACACCGGAGATATACCGTGAGTGCACAGCTCTGTATGAGGATAGCGGCTGGGGGGGGGGGGGGGGGGGGAGGGGGGGGGGGGCATGTAAAACAGCCAGATTGAACAAGGCCTGTCGCTCCCAACAGGTAGTCCTCACTCCTCAGCCCCGAAAAAGCACGTCATGATTCACAAACAATGCGTTGACCAGATTGCACGCAGAGCTGCACACCACTGTGGATTCGCTAGTTTGAGACATTTTGTTCTTCTTCTTCTTCTTCTTATTGTGACTGAATTGAGAGCAAGCTCAGCAAAAATATAATTTAAAGGTACGCATTGAATTCCGAAATGTGTTACCAGCAAGAAACACAGAGATGAATAGAAGACAAACACAATTATCACTTTGTTTCTTGCTGGTAACACATTAGGGAACGCATACCTAATTATTTTTGAGCTTGTCTTCTTCTTATTCCTTTTTTTAAAAGGTTTTGTGGCTCTTTCTTTTCGCACAATACTGCAATGTTTAGTTGATAACGGTACGATGAACACAGAAATACATGTACATGTAGAATCGAGGCAGGTTGGATTCTGTTACAACTTTATTATAAACGATTTTTCATACTGATTGAAATATCAAGTGTGCATCATAAATTAAACTACAGTAGCGGACATGGAAATCCAGTCCATTGACCGGGGACAGCGCTCTCAGCGCGTACAGAACGCTGCGTGCGGTCATGCCACATGTTGATCGGATGCGACCAGTGCGCTGCAGGGCATAATATTGCGGAGGATTAGCAAGACAAATTTCGCGTTCGCGTTTGCAAACATTTTTCAGTTCGCGAACTGGATTGCGAACTTTCGCATTTTTCGTTCGGAAAAGTAGTCGGAACACGAATCGCGGATTCGTGTCAGGGCAGTCGTAAATAATTTACCACGCTGTACTGTCTGTACACAATGTACGTCGTGTCAACGTCATGCATGTGCGAATTCTCTTTGCTAATCCTTCTCATAACGCGAATTCCGTCACTGAGTTCGACTTTCCTTGGAGAGCGAACGCGAACGCGAATTTCGTCTTGCTAATCCTCCGTATTATAAATGCACGTGTATGCCGCTTATCCGCGGCTGCATGGCCAGCGCCCTGGGGCCGCTAGACGTGCGACCGGATTTCCATGTCCACGACAGTACATGCATGATGCACGTACATTGTACATGCACATGCAGAGCAGCAGAGGTACATGTACATTGTGTAAGAAGAAAAAGGGCAATTTCCATTGCCCTTATCTTCTTACTGTTACACATGTATTTTCCTTACCCTTTAGGTTGTTTCTTGCATCGTCTCCATCGCTTACATTGTTTTAAATAAAGTAGTCCACATGTCGCTTCAGCTCGTCCTACTTTTTGCCATAGTAAAATTATTGTCTCCTCGTCGAATTTTTAATAATTTCTTCTTTGATAAACGAGCCTAACGCTGCTGCTTACTGTCCTTTGCGAACAGATAACAGTTGGTGTGTGTGATTTGTCTTTTCAGGTGGCCTCCGTGCGGCTCAGGCCTTCGCCATTATTGCCACAGTTTTCGCAGGTCTAGGCTTGATCCTCACCCTGATCATCGAGTTTGACATTACGAAGGTTGTACTTCTGAAGCTGCCGCGCATCTTCTTCGCTGTATCCGGTACGTGTTTCGAACGAATCAGGCTGCACTATACACTAGAAATACTTGTTCATGTACAAACTACTTCTAGTTCTCGATATTATTTTGGTCTCTGACTGAAGTAGTTAGTGGGAGATTTCAGGTGCCATTTTCCAGGTCTGGTTGAAGAGCACAGTGGTGCTGTGTTCATCGATCTAGTGAATTGGTACGAGTAATTGTCCATGTTTATGCACGAAGAGCGAAGCGGTACTGTATCTCGGGTAAGCGATACTGTATCTCGGGTAAGCGGTACTGTATCTCGGTTGAAGTGTGCATGTTGGTACAGTGTGTGTTTGAAGAATTTTCACCTTCCCAATTTTTGACATTCTGGTGTGCGACAGAAGTGAGATTCGTCATTTAGATTGAAGGGAACGAAAATTATTTTCACCGCCGGTACTTGACCCACGGATCTTCACCCTACGCTAGTGATGCGCTACCAACTGAGCTTTTTGTTTAGTTGGCATGCCACAGGATACATGCAAAACTTTCTTCTACTAGTACTTTGCTACTCATTCTATAGTGGCATATGGCATCGAGATTAGACAGAGATGTACATGTAGATGTAGATACGGTGAGACAGAGAGAGAGAGAGAGAGAGAGAGAGAGAGAGAGAGAGAGAGAGAGAGAGAGAGAGAGAGATAGATAGATAGATAGATAGATAGATAGATAGATAGATAGATAGATAGATAGATAGACAGAGAGAGATAGATAGAGAAAAAGAGAGAGAGAGAGAGAGAGAGAGAGACAGAGAGAGAGACAGAGAGACAGAGAAAAAGAGACACAGAGAGAGAAACTAATTGTTAGATGGGGAGAGAAAGAGGGGGAGGGAAGTGGAAAGAGAGAGTAAGCGCGACAGACCAAGGAAAAGATAGAGATATGGAAAAAGAGAGCGAGAGAGCCAGAGGCATCAAGTATCAAATAGCCTCTTAGTGAGTTGAAATCATAACTCATCACTACGTACTAGTACCCATGGACGGTTCATACAGTTCATTACTCTCCCACCCAATACAATTACCCCTGGATATTATAGGTTCACACATTCTCGGCGTATTAAAGTAGGTGCTCCTCAGCTCATTTCGAATCTAGTGCAATATCTGCGTATAGCTCTCAAAAATGGTATCAACATTTCTAAATTGTGTATATGCCATCCTACATGGTGTATTGTTTTCTTTCTTGTTTTTTTCTTAGGTTTTGCGATTGCCATTGCCGCTCTCAGCTTCGTGGCCTTCATCAGCCAGGATTGCGATTTTTGCAATTCTCGCCCTGGCTTCCAGGTCAAAAATAAGTATGGTGCCAGTTTCATCATCGCATGGATCACGCTAGTTCCGGCCCACGTTGCAGGCCTGCTGGCGCATTTCCATCATTCTGCAAAAGCTGCTGCAGCCTAATCATTTACATGCATGGGCAATATAAAATTATTCTAGTTTCTCGCTGGGCTAGCCGTCTGTATTGCTGTTCCAGAGGAAGGCTATATTTGTGCAAAAATCTATAGTAGGCTACTAGCGCTGATTGTCGCGGCTACCTTTTCTGCACATGTGCATGTACATTGCATACACGTCGTGTGCATGTACATGTATACGTATACATGTACATGTATACGTATACATGTACATGTACATGCACACATGCGTGACTATTATACACTGTCAAGTGTTGAGTGACGGAAAATAACGTTCAATTTGTTCATTGCAAACCAATCTCTGCTGTTTCTTGTCCCAAAATCATTCTTTTCTACCATTCCCTCAACTTATGAATACCCAGCAATATATTTAAATTTTTCTTGATTGTTATTCATTATAATAATTTAATAATTTTAATTAACTCGGATGGTGAGCCAATTAAATTATTTTGAAAAGATGAAGGACAAAATGTTACGAGTTATGACTAACTGTCCACCAACGTAACCAGATCTTATACAGCCAGGGAGTGCGATAAAATGGCGCAAAACTGACAAGGAGTACTGAGACATTCGGCGACCTGACACCTAGTGTAACAGGTAGCCGAGTGGTAGGGGCGGTGCAATCAACAAGAGTTAGTTTTATTCTTCTTCTCTGAGGTACACACCTGGGATATAATTATCAGTAAATGAAGAAGCGGCAAATAAATAACTTTACCCGGGTGCACACCTAGAGGTTGGCTACTTCTTCTTCGAGTTAACTTTGTCGTTGCTATCTAATGCAATCAAAACAGAAATGCGCAGCAGCTTTTATACAGCAGATGCCGTACGTTTACATACGGAGATACACTAAATATCCACCATGTAAAGTTCCGTATTAACCGGGCAGGGATACTACACTAGCTCCAACACTTCTCCAAGGCGCAAACCAACAACCTTCCAACTTGGAAGTCTCAGGTTCGGAAAGGTCCAAGAGGGGAAGGAAAGCGCAACGAAGAAGAGCACGAGCTACGCATTACGGCAACAAAGTATGCCGAAAGTTACTGGATGATAACGAAACTACTGGTAGTAGGATTATTGGACATACCGGCCTTACTACAACTCGACGACGCAAAGCAACAGATCAGTGACTTTCGGCATTCTTTGTTGCCGTGATGCGTAGCTCGTGCGCTTCTTCGTTGCGCTTTCCTTCCCTTCTTGGACCTTGCCGAACCTGAGCATTCCAAGTAGGAAAGTTGTTGGTTTGCGCCTTGGAGATGTGTTGGAGCTACATGTCGCCGAATTTCTTAGTACTCCTTGTCAGTGCTGTGCCATTTTTTCGCACTCGCTGACTGTATAAGATCTGGTTACGTTGGTGGGCAGTTAGTCATAACTCGTAACATTTTGTCCTTCATCATTTCACAATATTTTAATTAAACAAGCATTTCGGGGGTAGCAGTTATACATGTAGCTTAAAGGAGGACTAATTGTACTGTTACCATTTCCTACATGTCGGCATGTACGTGTAAAATGTTATACGATGATCGCAAAGTACACAACGAAAGGAATCTTTTTCATGAACATTTTATGAAGAAGAAGGAAGCGCCTCTATATCTGTTACCTGGCATGGCACCACTCTGCGCTATCACCTTTCCCTAGGCACTCTGTGCAATGCATCATGAAAAATGGGCTGGTCACACCCTGCAATATCATCACCCTCATCTAGCACCTAGGCACTCTGTACAATGCATCATGAAAAATGGACTTGTCACATCCGGGACCCGACATAATGATAATTTTCAGTACTGGCTTACAGTAACCTGGTTAAGTATTTCCCCGATTATAAGTCGCACCTTTTAACACTAAAATTCAGAGTAAAAAAGTGGGTGCTACTCACACTCCATAGTGACGGAGTTCACACCTTCTGAGTATATAACCAGTGTATCATACTTTGTTTGATCATCCATCTGATGATCCGTTGCTTGAACGGTGAAACACTGTGTAATGGAATTTGATCTCTGACGGTTTTTCCGCTTGTGTGTGATGAAGCTCTGCCTCGCTTGCATTGAGCGCTCTCCGCAGTTTGAGACCATTCCCTTGTGTGAAGAAGAAGGAAAAAATGTTACGAATTATGACTTTTTCACAATAATTTAATTAGCTCACCATTCGATTTTTGAAGAAGAGTACATAACTGCATGTGTGATCATGTAATCTTGATGTTGTGCTGAACCCCTTTTCGCGGGTGTCGCTGACTGGGACACTTCAACTTCAAATAATAATAACATTCTATTTTTACAATCTTCTGCACTTCCAAAGAATAGTTGTCCCTGCTGTCCTTCTGCCTGCACTTCTGATCCACAAAATCATGCGCGTCCTTACATGCGTTGAACGCTGCACTGACCCACTTTAAAATTCGCCCAAAACCACGTTACCATTAGTACACTCCAGGCCAGGGTTTACCGTCCTACATGTACATACATGTATGCGTACGGGAAACTGATGATAGTGGAGGCTGCTCTCCGGAATCATTTCACAGAATTATACTAGCTTTTCAAATCGAAATCAATACATTGATAGCTTTTCTCCGCCTCTTTTGTTTGCCTATCCAGCGCTGTTCAAGCCCCAGACTCTCTCTCTCTCCCTTTATCTTTCCCCCTCTCTCTCTCTCTCTCTCTCTCTCTCTCTCCTTTTCCATTTCCCTCCCTGTCTGGTAATTCACATTTCACTCTTTCTTACTTTTACACGCAAAATTTGTACGGATCCTCTCCCTCAGCCTGGGTCTCACGTTGTTAGCGTACTTGTGTCATTTCAGCAGCATTGTTTAGAAAACAATAATAATTATGCTTTACAACCAAGTGATTGCCATGTGTGCATAGAATTGCTTTTTGGAAACTCAACGGCTGCTCACCTTGCTTGGGGCAAGTCAGCACCCCGTGCTGAGTTCATGGTCCACATTTCAAGGGCATCCGTGCCTCTCCTCACTGCAGCACTACGGAGTATGCTCTGAGGTTTTCACGCCACCATGTCGCTCTCCGTGACGCAGTCTTCCTTACTGTTTCTAAGTTACGGAAATGTTCCACCGATTAGAGGCTAGCAGACGGTCTCTGCTTGAAGCATTGGACCTTTGTTGTGATTCAAACACGTCGCACAAGTCTCAAGCCAATCCAAACGCACTTGCTCTGGTTTACAAGAACCGAAAACAAGAAACGTTTTGGCTCTAGGTCTACGTGAGCTGTGGTCTTGCGCGTCTACCTATCTGGTCAAAGCGTTGCTATGGAGTCATCCCAGAAACATACCGGTAGGTAGTACTACTACTAGAATGTGTTCCTATGAGGCTATGGTTAGCAACTGGTCTGCAGTGTATAGACAGTGATGCTGATCTTACGGATCACTTACATGTACATGTACATGTATTTGATTTGTACAAGTGCATGCTTGGAGACTGTAGCCGCCGCCCTGTGTAAACTGGGCAGAGAACATGACAATTTCATGTACAATCATGTACATGTACATTAACATTAATTTTGCTAGTACATATACATGTAGTATGCACATCTAAATACTATACATGTACATGTACATGTATAATCATGTACATGTGCATATACATGTATATGTACATGGTTAGTAAGACTATGCCTGTAGCTGCAGAAAAAGTGCTCAACATCCAATTTCTTGGGGGGAGCAATGACACATATGCTGTAACTCCTCAGACTTCACTGGCTCTGCTGTAGTACAGGCATCCAGCACCCAACACCTGAATCCTAACACCACCAAAGAGGCAAGTGCCGCCATTGCACCTAACTGCAACTCGTCGGACTTAATTGGCTCTGCTGTAGTACAGGCATCCAACAGATAGCGCCTTGGCAAATTGGCTCTGCTGTAGTACAGGCATCCAACAGCTGGCACCCCCCCCCCCCCCCCCCCACTGCAAATTGGCTCTGCTGTAGTACAGGCATCCAACAGCTAGCGCCTTGGCAAATTGCACTGCCCCACTATGCTATAGTCATCTAGCACTCAGCTTCACACACTTCTCAGCCGGCAAATTAGCCCATTGATTACGTATCAGGGGTCCCGCTAAGCCTTACACTTGCTTCCGCCTGCATCCACCTTAAATTCCCATTATGCTTTGACCAGTCTGCATTGAATATTGTTCGCCTGATGATTGCACACAGTGCATGAAACTCGGAGTAGCGAAATATTACGAGTGATCCATTGTTTGTTGACATGTGTATATGTACATGTATATGTAATGGGTAGCCGAGTGGTAGGCGCGGTGAAATCAACAAGAATTACTTTTATTCTACTTCTTTCAGGTACACACCTGAGATATAATTATTAGTGAAAGAAGAAGCGGCAAAATGACTGACTTTTTCTCCGGTGCACACCTGGAGGTTGAATAGCTCGTTATTATCAAAATCTCATCTTCATCAAAACAGAAATGCGCAGCCGCTTTTATGCAGCAGCTGCCGTACGCTTACATACGGAGATACACTAAATATACATCAGGCAAAGCTCCGTATTAGTTCCGTACTGCTTCCGTATTGGTCGGGCAGGGATACTACATATATGAGAAAGATGGAATGGCAGATACAGACACCCAGCCAGAGACTATCATTAATAGAGCTACTGTATCGTTCTGGTTGAGTGCAGATTGTCAAGTACATGTAACTAGTTGCATTATCTTTTTCTTTGAAAAATACTTTTATTATTAATTTTGTTTTGTTTTTCCAGAACTAAATATTGCGACAGAGCTTTCGGCCATATTTATGATTATTTATCGCTGTTCTCACACTTTACCATTTTAGCAGCTTGCATATGCCATTGATATATGTGGAAAGCGCGCACTTGCGCCATTTCTTGTGTATAAGAATGATCATTCCTCCATTATCATCATTATCATCCTCTACTGATGAGCTCCGACAGGGAGCGAAACAGCTGTCTAGAGGCGTGGAGCAATAATTATTATCTCTCAACGGAAGTGTCCTTGCTGGTGTCTGTATGGTTCGGCTGAAGAGCGCGTGGTTGTGATGAGTTGGGAATGCAATGAATTGTTTTTCCAGAAGTGAGGAAAATCACGTGAACTTACCACGTCCATGTTTGCAAGTTGTATGAAAGCAACCTGCATGTACATGAACATGTACATGATTGTAAAAACCATGATTGTACATTCTGACATGTCACAAAACTGTAGGCACGGAGATGACCAATCGCATTGCACCTGGCAGGGCCTAGATGAGGCGATCAAGGCATGCTACAAGTAGTTGAACTCCATATCTAGTGGAGCGGGCTTTGATTTTTCCCAAAAAAACGAGGCGGGCTTTGTAATTATTTTACGATCAAAGCCCGCTCCACTAGGGCTTTGATTCACTGATCAAGCTCGCTTTTTTTACTCGACTTCGGCTCGAGAAGGTTGAGAGCCATGCTTTCAAGCGCTATAGGAAGATCGAAGTGCGAGTTCATGTCCTAAATCCAATGAAAACAGTCGTGTTCATGTTCTATCAGGCAATCACAGCCCTTGGCGAAATATTTACAAGTTATTTTTTAGTTCTACATGAGTTTCAAGCGTGGGTGCATATCAGAAATTCAATTTTAAAAAACACTCCTCGTGTTCGATCAGCATGCATCACAGCCCTTCGCGCTTCGCGCGGCGGGCTGTGATTTGGCGATCTCACACTCGTACTCTTGCTGGATTCCATACTGTAAGTTCACGTGATTTTCCTCACTTATGGTGAAGTACAATCATGTACATGTAGTGAATACGCCACAGCGAACGCATGAACCCTATTGAGTTCATGTAACGCTACAGAAGTACGTAGTTCAGAATAATCACACAATACATCCTCGTGATCAATTGTGTCGGAAGGACATTCACCACATCATGAGAATGAAGCTTTGGCAAGGTACATGTACATGTACATGCACTTGTACAGTACATGTAACTGCACTCTTGCATTCTGTGATCAACGCCTGCCGACCCGAACTTGTTTTGCACCCTTCCGGTGTGCTAGGAAGACTCATTTGTGTGTGGACAAGTAAATTAGTGTTCGTCGTAATTACATGTACATGTGTACAATAGTCATATACATGTGCATGACCCTGTGCTTGGCTCTAAATGCACATGCACATGTGTACATGTGTCACTTGCTAATCTCCCGCACTAGTAGTAGCAGACTACCTTGAATACATTTTCGCCGTTAACCCTGACTGGCCTGAGCACCCTTCTAAGACGTCCTTGGACTCTGTTGGGATTGCGCTTCCTCGCACAGTAAATTGTATGGAAACAAATCGTAAATTGCAATATTTATGGACAGGTTCATGTACACGGCTGCTTAATTTCGAGTCGGTTTAAACGCACTGTTGTTAATTCGACATATTTGCAATCCGTTTAGCCATCTATTCTGCGCCCCACTGGTGACAGCTAACAAGCACGAAACAACTACAAATGTACATGTCCACAGCTGTCAAGAGCAAAGCTGTCCACAGCTGTCCAGATATTGAATATTACACAAAAAGCACACCACTGTTCAACCATTGTATTCTTCAAAATGAAAATTGATCAATCTCTTTTCCGAAGATTCCATGACACTCTGAAAAGCAGCAATTAAAATAGTTCCACTGCTGACTTTTGTCAAATGAGATCGTTTAAGTACATGCAGGTCAGAGTGCATTCTTGCGACAATACACGCACAGTTACAGGAAGTGCTTAATAACTGTACTTGATCTCCGTAAAGCTACACCATCAACACCGAGCCATTGCGTAGATGTAAAACCTCGTGATCATGACGGCGTTGTTCACGCCATAATTCCAGGGAAGCCGCACTACTACTCTACTGCCAACACAAGCGTAGATTGGTCTGCAGCAACATGGCACATAATCGTTCTCCCAACACCCACTGACATTCATCCTGCTCTAGCTCTACCTACACACTAATCACACTGCATAATACCGGTAGTTCTGTGGGAATGCGTGTGGATCAGACATCTACATGCACCTACGGTCCTAGGTTACAGTAGGTATTCATTGGCGCTACCTGAAGCGGGCTGCTTCACAAGTAACTGAAGTTGTTTATTATGATTGTGCATGTACGGGTGCAAGAATTAGTGCAAGCACAAGTACACGTACATGCACATGAACATGTACATTGTATACTCGATGCTGTAGACAGCAAGCTGTTTCGGCCATAAAGGCCCCAGCATGTACACGGTGTGAGTAAAGTATGTACATGTACATGTGCATGTAGAGTAGGAACAGTGCGGAGTGTGTTCCCTAATGTTTATTCTCTCACCTTTTCCCAGCGCATCCCCGGAAAGTATCATCTGATCCAGACTCACCTACCACTAGTTCAGGGTCAAAGAAGAACGATCGCGATGAAGATCTACACGTAGCTCTTTGCACATGTCCTCTTGTGTCCTTCACCTGTAAAAAGAGCATAGGAAGCGGTTTCCAAAAACAGTTAGCCATTGCTTCCAATCGCCAGTGGATACATTGTGGTTGAAAAACCGTATGTTTTTCAGGTGCTGGTATTCGTTGCAGGTAGAAACATGGCCAACAATCTTATTGTTCCCCTTGTACTGTCGGCGGTGGTGACGCTCGCGCTCCTCATTACTGTTCATGGTGAGTTGCAGGCTTCAAATATTGCTTCATATAAATATTGCTTCATATACATATACATGTATGTATATTACCTCATTACAACTCAAAATTCTCTAAGTTGTGTCGACATGTGCAGGTACTTGTACATACAAATTCAGGGAGGTTACCGGTATCATTATTTTACTGCTATTGAGTATCTCACACCGTAGAACTAGTTTCTTGTTCTGTCTGTACGTTATCTGTTTCTACGCCCAGTTGTTCCAAAGTGGTATGAACAGTCGCGAACCGACAGTACTGTTATCCGAAAACTCGACACCGGGATTTGGCGATTATGTGACGAGCTGAACGTGCCGATAGTTGGTTTCAGCAGCAGGGCGTGCAAAGCGTTCGACATCACAACACGGAAGATACATGTATACCGTGAGTGCACAGCTCTGCATGAGGATAGCGGCTGGGGGGGGGGGGGGGGGGGTGCAAAACAGGCAGATTGAACGAGGCCTGTCGCTCCCCAAAGGTAGTCTTCAGCCCCCAAAGAAAACGTCATGATTGCCAAACAATGCGTTGGCCAGATTTCATGCAGAGCTGCACACCACTGTGGATTTGCTAGATTGAGACATTTTTGTTTTGTTTTTTTTTTCTTTTTTTTTACTATTATTCACAAACCCTACTCGTAAAATAAATAATTATGTGAATTATATAAACAAACAGCTACTGAGCAGGGGCTGCACTGGGCAGCAGTGATGGTGAGGTACCAGGGGCTCCACCGACCAAAGGTCTCGGCTTCAATGCCACAAGCACGCACCAGGAAAAAGAAACAGAAATGTAAAGCAAAGCTAGATGTAGCTATGGGGAAGTAGAATGGGTAAAAGTACCGGTAGGTGTTTAGAAAAATAAAAACAAGATGAAAAGAGATTGTTTATTATCAGTGTTTGGACTGATGTACAATGTACATGTCAACATCATCAACCAAAACTTATGAACTTTTTTAATAGATCTGAAACGAAACTCGCACAAAGAAGTGTAAAGAAAACAAGCTAAAAAACAGAAAAATAATAAGGCACCCATTTTGATAATCCAGGGGATGGCCCACGCCTGGTAAAAGAATAAGCAGAGAAAAGAAAAGAATCATAACAAGTTTTTCCATGTATGCAAAACACAGCTGAGCACTCTGAGCAAGGCCAGGAACGCGGATTAGCGGGTCCGGCAAGCGACGGGCTCAAAAAATTACAGGGAATCTGTTGCCCAGTACCAGTTGCTGTCTCTCAGGTGTCCGTAGACCTTTGTCTTGAATGACTGAAAATGTGTTTTGTGTGGGCGCTGCGACAGCAGCCTGTCAGGAAGGGAGTTCCATGCGCCAATACAGCAGTACGGGAACGACCGCTTCACGACGGATGGAGCTGAGACAGGGAGCGTGTCTGACAGTTGATAGGCGTGGCTGGTGGCATTATTGTGCTGGTTCCTGGTTTTGGGGTTGGCTGGAGAAACGCAATGCGGTGGCAATACAGCAAGTAGCTGAGGAGGACCAGTAATGAAATGCAATTTGTACATGCACGAGAGAGCAGCAACAGTCCGGCGGACAGCCAGACTCGGGAGAATTGCACCAGGGCCAATGATGCGCAGTGCGCGGCGTTGAACATTATCCAGACGTTGGATGTGTCTGGCTGGCGCGCCCATCCACACAAGCGGGGCATACTCCATCAGGGGCCTCACGAATGCCTTGTAGACAGTCGTTCGGCCAGCTGGCGTTAGAAAGTGGGCCGCTCGTCGGAGAAAGCCGAGGCGCTGCTGGGCGCGGATGGTCACGGTCCTGAGGTGATTAGCGAAGGACAATTTGGAGTCAAATCGAACACCAAGCAGTGATATGCTGGTTTCCTCCGGTACAGGGGTACCACCAAACAGGATTTGGGGCAGGTCTAGGTCAGTGCGTCGGAGGGAAGCAGTCATAGCCTGTGACTTGCTGGGCTCGAAAGACACTTTCCACCGGCAACCCCACTCATGCAGGCGGTTTGTGGATACCTGCAAGGTGTGTGCAGCGTCCCGAGGGCACTGAGCTGAGGATACTAGACTGTATAGTGTCGTATTGTCCGCGTAGGCCTCAAGCTGAGCATTGCCATCAAGAACATCGGCAGCGTCATTCACGTATATTAGAAACAACGTAGGGCCCAATATACTGCCTTGGGGCACCCCTGCAGAGATTGGGTAGAGAGAAGAAATCTGACCGCCGACTAAGCACTGGAGTGAACGGCCGTCAAGATAAGACGATAGCCAGCTATGGAGAGTGCCAGTAATGCCGAGCTGCCGGACCTTGTAGAGGAGGCCCACGTGGGAGACCCGGTCAAAGGCCCCGGCTATATCGACTGCGAGAATTCGTGCCGCGCCACCTTGGCCAACGATGTCCACCCAGGCGTTATGATGCGCCTGTAGTGCATCTGCCGTGCCGAGACCTCTACGGAACCCAAACTGGTGGGGAGTGAGGAGCTGCTGGCGCTCAAGATGGTTCATCAGTTGGCGATTGACAATAGTTTCCATTACTTTGGACATTATGCATAATAACGAGACTGGGCGGTAGTTCTTCAGAACAGAGCGCGAGGACCGTTTGTGGATCGGTACCACGTTAGCTGTCTTCCAAGATTCTGGTTGAACTCCGCACCTGAAACAGAGAGCGAATAGCTGGGACAAGGGCTTCGCAAGTTCTTTGGCACACTCTTTCAGGACCCGGGCTGAAATGCCGCCAGGACCAGTCGCCTTTGATATGTCCAGTCGCGCTAGCAGACGGTAGACAGTGGCGGGGCGAAAATGAACGGCTGCGAGTGCCGGTGCTCCGGTTGCAAAAAGGTCAGGTAAGTCGTCAGAAGTAAGATCCTGGCCAGTGACACTGCACTTCCTGGAGAAGGTGGCAAAGGCTTCCGATTTCTCATGGCTTGTTGCCAACTCCCGTCCGCCCGCGTCAACAATGAGAGGAATGTCCGTGTTTCGTCCGTCCCCACTAGCATACTTTAACTTGGTCCACCATTCTTTGTCCTTCAGTGAGCCCGTGGACAGGCTGTGACGGATACTGGCCTCTTTAGCTTCCTGGGATCGCCTTAGGATGTTGACGGCTGTGGTAACGGAGCGGAGGAAAGCTTGTTTGAGTGAAAGATCGTTCGGGTGTTTTCTCCAGGAACGCCAACGTTTGTCCTTTTCCCTCATAGCAGCTGTACATTCCGGTGTCCACCATTTCGGATCACTCGGCCTCGTGGTAAGTTCCTTAGATGGGACAAACCTGGCTATTGCGCCTCTGATAGTGGAGGTTACCCGCGCACAGGAGGTGTCCGGGTCATCAGTTATGATGTCGTGCCATGGAGAGTTGCGAAGGAAAGCTCGGAGGCGATGCCAGTCTGCGCTCTTGTACCGCCAGACAGTTCGCTTTGCTGCAGGCTCGTGGCAAGGTAATATGCCTACGAAGTCAGATAGAACGATAACGTGGTCAGACCGCCCAAGAGGGGGTGTGGCGGTTGTCAATACTGGGGAGTTGAAGGTAGACATCACGAGGTCAAGGGTATTGTCGCCACGAGTAGGAGTCTGAACATGCTGCGTAAGGAGGTGTGCGGCACAAGTGTCCTCAAGTGCTTCGCCCGCCGGTGTGGTCTTTGAGCTGTTTAGCCAGGCACGGTTGTGAACGTTAAAGTCCCCAGCAAGAATGAGACTAGCGCCGTGTTGACGGGCCAAAGGAAGGGTGTCGTCGAGATGATGGATAAAAGAGAGGTCACCGGGCCCGCAAGAACCCGGCCGGTAGACACCTCCCAGGACAATCTTGTGCCCGGCGCTGAGCTGGATGGATACCCACAAGACTTCATGCTGGGGGGCGGCCAGTTCATCGATGATCAAGGCTGGGAGAGTAGATCGCACCCAGATTGCAACTCCACCACCGTGTGCTGTGCGGTCAAGCCTTAATGGAGGGCTATAGCCCGGGAATATCGTGTCCGACACTTGGACCTTCTCTGTTGTGAACTTTGTTTCGGTTACCACTGCGACGTCAGGGTTGTGCTGTAGCAACGCGTGCTGGAAGTCGCCTAACTTGCTACTTAACCCGAACGCATTTGTGCACAAGAGGCGAAATGGAGCAACCATGGAAGAAACAACAAGAAATAAACGAAAAGCTAAAAAATACCAAAATGTAAACCTAGAGCTAAAGTTCTTAAAAACAAAAAAGTCCTGAACGTGTTTCTAAGATTTAAAAACGCCAAGTGTTCTGCTTGCTGCCAGCTGGACCCTTTCTCTTTTTCTTTCTTCCACGGACTTCGGTGAATTCGGTTTCAGCTGAGGGGGAGGTCGAGCTTCGCTGCCGTTTGCTGTTGGTGCCTGCTTTGCTGTTGCTCTTAGCGCAGTCAGCCAGTAGGGCCATTGCTCTGTCTTCGTCACTAGCAGGATCACAGTGGGCCAGAGACGTGGTGGGGTCAGGCTGCGGTGGGGAGGGGGTGGGGGTTCCTCCATCTGACTCCTCAGCCCAGCTGCTGTCGGGAGACAGAGCTAGAGTGAAGTCCGGCTCACCTTCAGTGCGTCCCACTGAGGCAGATTCGGGTTCCCTGGATGCAGGGTGTGCAGCGTCCCGAGGGCACTGAGCTGAGGATACTAGACTGTATAGTGTCGTATCGTCCGCGTAGGCCTCAAGCTGAGCATTGACATCAAGAACATCGGCAGCGTCATTCACGTATATTAGAAACAACGTAGGGCCCAATATACTGCCTTGGGGCACCCCTGCAGAGATTGGGTAGAGAGAAGAAATCTGACCGCCGACTAAGCACTGGAGTGAACGGCCGTCAAGATAAGACGATAGCCAGCTATGGAGAGTGTCAGTAATGCCGAGCTGCCGGACCTTGTAGAGGAGGCCCACGTGGGAGACCCGGTCAAAGGCCCCGGCTACATCGACTGCGAGAATTCGTGCCGCGCCACCTTGGCCAACGATGTCCACCCAGGCGTTATGAAGCGCCTGCAGTGCGTCTGCCGTGCCGAGACCTCTACGGAACCCAAACTGGTGGGGAGTGAGGAGCTGCTGGCGCTCAAGCTGGTTCATCAGTTGGCGATTGACAATAGTTTCCATTACTTTGGACATTATGCATAATAACGAGACTGGGCGGTAGTTCTTCAGAACAGAGCGCGAGGACCGTTTGTGGATCGGTACCACGTTAGCTGTCTTCCAAGATTCTGGTTGAACTCCGCACCTGAAACAGAGAGCGAATAGCTGGGACAAAGGCGTCGCAAGTTCTTTGGCACACTCTTTCAGGACCCGGGCTGAAATGCCGTCAGGACCAGTCGCCTTTGATATGTCGAGTCGCGCTAGCAGACGGTAGACAGTGGCGGGGCCAAAATGAACGGCTGCGAGTGCCGGTGCTCCGGTTGCAACAAGGTCGGGTAAGTCGTCAGAAGTAAGATCCTGGCCA